GCCATCTTGCAGGTCAGCGTGTTTGTTCCACAGGGTACATGTATGCACAAAGGAAGTTTCCCTGTGGAACAAAAGAACTGCCCTACAAGATGGCTTGTTTAAATCTCCACTTACATGTACTTGGGTTTTTTTTTTAAGTAGCTTAACTGCCAACAGCCAGTGCCTTAATTGACAGTGACCTTGACAAAGATCCTCTAAGATTCTTCCTACATGAGGTTTTGAAGAAATATTGCGAGGAGAGCACCCTTAGGTTTAAATAGCCTGTCCGCTGTGTTACTCCATGTGGGGCTTGATGCCTCTCGCGATTCAATTTACAAATTATTTTCCACTCTCCTGAGGGATTTTGGAGGGACCTTTCCACTCGTAGCATATAAGTTTCTGACAAAGAAGGCCTGGAATGAATGAGATGAACGTTTTGAAGATGAATGTGAGCACGTGCAGGTGATTATACATGTACATGTATGTACAAGTCTGAGTGGATTTCAGGAAATTCAGGAAACCCTCGTCTGTAAATGAGCTCAGTGGTCTGCCAACCTGTCAAAATGCATGTTACCAATAATTCTCAGCAGGGTCAACACGGGCTGCTTTTCTTGGGTAGGACAGAGTTTACCGTAGCCAGTGCAGGGCTTAAAGTGGGATGGGAAGACGCAGCTGAATGCACCAGATAGCCTTCGCTGTCAGTAGACCCAGCTTAGTTGGGTGAAATTCAAGGGCATAAATTGATTGACAGCACGTCATACTGAAAATTATCCAAGGTGTCATGTTGCATCTGTTGTCCGGTGAAGAATCTCAGTTGAATTTAACCCTCACCTTCCCCAACCAGACAGAATTAAACAGTAGCAAAGTGTTTCATTCTGTGGGGATTGGTCCAGTTGGCCCAGACAGCTGGCTTTTGCATTGGGTTTGGCATACCTCTCAACAGCCTCTGTGCGCAAAGTCCCATTGTGTGAATGGGGAAGGTGAAGGCCAGCAACCCTTGGGGCGTTGGGTTAAAGACAATTGTTCTAATCGCTGAGCATTGTGTAGCCTTTTAAATAGTTATAGACCTCAACCATCCGTGATCAGTTGTCAAGCATCGAGGTTGTCAGTATTTAAGTGGGTGTAGATCTGTATAATTCTGCTTTGCAACTCTTACTTTGCATTTTTCTTAGAATCCAGTCCTATCCGCCCCGAGCTGAAGTGCACCCCCAATTAGCAAAAGAAAGACAGGTGGTTACAAGCAGGTTCTTGCACTTGTTCTGTGTGTACGTAAAGACCATACATGCCAGAATAGATTAGTTACGCGTAGTCAGCGCGCTCCGCCTCAAACCCGCATATACATGTACTTGTGTGCCTATGGCGCGCCTATGTGGTGAGTCCCAGAAAATATGCCCTCTTTTGATCCGCTCGGAGCAGATACATGTATGATTTAATGCACAGCATTAATTAGGATTTTGGAGTGTCTAGGAGTTTCATAGGAAATTACACGTAGAACCGCCATCACTGTCAACACAGTACTGTATGAACTTCACTCTTTTTTTTAACTTGAGTTCTTCAGATTGAGAAGTGAGAGCAAACCCTTTAAGCATGGACGGACAAGATCTAAGAATACTTGATTGTGTCAGACACCTGCCCTTATGCATCAAGAAATAGCCCCCTGCGCTGCTTCATTTTTTACTAGAAGAAACCGATGTACATGACTCAAGGCCCATGACTCAAGACTGTGGAAGAACGGGTGTCATCATTTAAGCGTTCTAATTGGATCTTCTCTGTTGGTGCTTGCAGGCCGGCCTGCCCCCCCCAAACGTAGGGTTTACTGGCCAGTTTCCAAGCGGAAATTCTTTATTTACTTTGGTAGAAATCTTGACTGCAAAGAGCTGCCTTTAAAATAATAGGACGTCTGAGAGTTTTTCAAAAGATAAGATTGATTAAATTGATAAACATGGGACAATACTGTAAAGAGAGATGTCTGAGAAATTAATTTGAACATTTTGGAGACACATGTTATGATTCAAGATTTTATAAAATCTGCAGTGGAAAATATGTAGGGCTATATACTTTATCAGGTAACGGTGCACATTGTATGGTTTTGTTCTCGGAATTAAAAAATCTCTTTTCATCTTGGCCGTGCATAATGTATGTATACAGGTCTGTACAGTGTGTCAAATATTTGCTTCATTATTGAATTCAACCTCATCCAGGGAAATATTTTTTTTTGCAAAGAGACTAATTCCATGAAATGCACCCATATGTCTGCGCGTTGTCCCAAGAGTCAATCGTCAGCTAGTTGATAATGTCCGATTCGTAAAACAGAAATTAGTGAATTTACACCAAAAAAGATAAAAGCTGTACATTTGGTTGTGAGCACTGTCGGCCCATCTGTCAGTGGAAATGAGCCGTGCACCATGCACATGGAATGGATTTGAACTAACCTGATTATAATGTCAGGCTGCCAGACCTACAAATAAATCAAATCAAATCAAATCAACCCTCTCAGCTCCCCCCATTGATACTACTTGGTGGAACCATGGTTGAACCTGTCCCACCACCCCCAAAGCACAGACGTTACAGAGATGCCAAGTCAGGATTTTTAATAGCCATCAGATTGGACCGGATGGATCCATGCCATGCCTTTTGAAGAACTGCAGGCTGTAGGGGGATGCATGTTTGCTGCCAGTAGCCTGGATGAGTGTCGTGACCAGTCCATAAAAGCAGGGGGTAAGAGCAGGGGGCCTACCGAGGGATGTCTACGTTTGTTTCTCATAAGTGGTCCATAAATTGTAGAAGAATTGTCACTTAACTCACTAAATTATTTAGAAATTGTAAAAGGATTTGCAAAATACTTTTACCCGTTTGAGGAGTGGTCATAATTGTGACATGAATACATTTGAACCTGTTCCCCGCCTACGGTTTTGAAATGGTACAGTCGAGTCGCGTGGTTAATGGCATTGATTTACAGAGTATTTAAAAAAATATGAATTTATGATGCCCTGCAGCTTAGGTTATGTGATGCTTACTGTCACACTTGGCCGGGCAGCCCCTCTGCCAGGTTTCTGTCAACCTCAAGGATGGCTTATATGTGGCGTGCTATGCATGTCATTAGAGACTAGTTACAAAGCTGCTCAGATAAAACAGATACACTCATCCACCCTTTAAATTTATCACTAATCCCTCGGATGTCTGACATGATATGAAAAGTGGAGGATTTGGGAGCATTCAGTGACTTGAGCCCAATTTATTTTCATCTCACAACTAATTAGTGACGCTTTACGAAATCAACGATGGGTACAAATGCATCCCCCCTAAAAACCCTGTCACAACTTGATCACTTCAATATAATTTCATTGTCATTATTGAAACGATTTGTCAACCAGAAGAAAAGCACTTGGTCATCAGTTTCCGTTGCCAAACGTTCAGTTCTTTCTGTTGATGTCAGCAGTAGTGACAAATACTCGTGAATCTTCAGGCAGATTTTCTGGCGGTATCATTTCTGTTGCACCTGCATGACCTGTTACATATTACATGCTTAAACTTTCATAGAATGGTCCACTCTTCGAGGTTTCAAATGCTGAAAAACCAACAGTTACACTTTTGCACATGCGTACATGTATGTCCACGGCATTGACAATTTTTATGATCGTTTTCGGCGACAGTAGCTCTCAGATATTTATCTGATCAATTTTCTTGAAAGCATGCTGCAAATTAGATTGCACTGCAGATGCTAAAAAAAATTACATGTACATACATGTATAGCTATATAACCAACATAACGTAATTTTGGGAACTGCAGTCCCAGGTCCGCACCACTTAAATAAAGGTCATTTGTAAGAGCTCGCGCAAGGTGTGAAGTCCACAATGGGGGGGCTCGTCCAGGAAGCAGGTTGATCTTGATTGCTGATCGTCTACATGCACGCAACGGTCACATTATCTCATTTAAGCAAACTATGACTTTCACTATTTATGTACTCGTTTAACCCATTCTGTCATTTTGGAAAAAAAATATCAGAAGTGGACTTAATGCAGTGTGTTTAGTAATGATTAACGAGTAGCCCGACTGAGGAATAACTTGTCCAAACATTTAGCCATGTGCGTCGGTTTAGCCAAGGTTGGACACCGGCCTTTATTACATCCTTCCGTAATGTTGTACAATCAGGGAGTCAAGCTAGCCAAGTACATACATGTACATGTACATGCACTAGATATTCTCACCAATATCTAACGTACACGTATATTTGTGTCGGAAGTAGTCATCTGGTTTTCATATACAATGTACGTGTAGTGTACTTCCCTTTAATTAAAGAAAAAGTATCATGTTGCAAGAAAGCTGAGGGCGTTCAGATTTCATGATTTTTCCCCCAGTGAACTACATGTACACGTATAAGATTACAGGTTATGTACGGTACAGCGTATTCATGTTAATTATATGCTGGAGAGCAGGAGTTAGGTCTTACAAAAAGTTATTTACCGAATTCGGTACATCCTGGACCAGTGGCGAAGATGCAGTCTCTATAGGCTTTGAATGGGATGGTTGCACTGGAGCCCAGCTGTGGACGACCTGACAATGGTCTTGATTTTAAGATAATTTCATTTTTTTTCTCTGCAATTATTTTTTCTCTAATGTTGAAAAATGAAAGCCAAGCGCGTATTGGTTGAGGTTGACCATGCTTGTTTGTTACCTATACCAACCGACTTGTACCCTGTACATCATCGTAATCAATGAGAGACCATCTCACTGATCAATAATTACTCGATGTGAAATGTGAACAGACTTGAATTTGCTGGTAGTTACAGTGCATGGTCTGTATGTATGAAGTGTATTGGGCCAATGTACCAGCGTGTGTTCATGCTTGCCACAGTTGGCCTTATTCCTCGTTTATTTTGTGCCCATCGATGAAAGTTAATGATTTTCTACTTTTGTGTTCATGTCTACACTTTGTTTAAAATGGTCTGACATTTTGAAAGGTGAGTCTGGGCAGGCATGCATCTGTAGACGTACATGTATATTGCTCGGCATCAGTGTAAATGGTCACTGAATAAACACTTGCCATTTGTGCACTGTGTATTTAAATCCGGATCATGTGAACCGTACTGTTGAGTGCAGGTGTGCATCAAGATGCAGTTGTAAGCACGAACTATTAGCGGAGAAGAAAAAAACACCAACAACTGAGAGATCATTATAGGGCATCTCGATGCTAGGCAACTGCGCTAGAACCCGTGAGGAACATCACGCTTCTAGATCCACACAGTCGTGTGCGAGTGTCGAGCTGTATTTAGCTTATAGGCACACGTGTATGGACGGATGGACGCATTGTGGATGGAACAATTGAGTCAGGCCAGCGTCACTGCAGAGCGTGTGTGACAGCAGGAGAGGAGTGAGGCAGACACTGGATATTGCATTGCTCGCTTCCTGGGTCGAGTGTCACATTGGCTGCAGGTGGTGGTCAGATATCTGATTAATGCTGAGTAGTGCCCAGGAAGCAGTTGCCAGCTCTCATCCAGCCCGTTTAAGTATAGCAATGCAGAGGGACATTTTGGCTTCTCGGTTTATGATGATGCTTTCCAAACAGAAACAGCGTCTCTGCCCTGAAACATTCAGATCGTAAATATACACTGTACACGGAGTGGAATGTGGATATTTTTATTCTGAGAAAAGTTGCTGGGTTGCAGAAAAGTACTGTGTGAGGAATTTGTCTAGATTTGTGTAGTTTCACAGTTCTGAAATCTGCATTTTGTGCTGTTTTGTTATTCTGCCAGTGAGTGGCAAGTCATTTAGCCTGACACTGTGGATGTCCAGTCCGTGCCGCTGAACTCACACTAAAGAACACTGAACATGGTGAAGAGCTTTATTAAAGAGCCTGGAGTTTTTGTGTGGTTTTCACCAAGATGGCACGACGTCGACATAACAGCATCACAAGATGAGCTGGAAAAAACGCGCAGGAATTCACCTCAATAAGGAAGGCTATCAAAACATCAGTAATTCTGTAAAACAAGAGAAGAATTCTGTAAAAAAAAAAAGAAGAAAACAACAACAGAAAGCACCCAGAGTTAATTGCCTGTGCTAGTAATGACCCATTATTCACTGCTCTAATTGCTGTTGGACTACAGTAATATTTTTGATGCCCCGTTTGTGTCAATTGGTGTGTGAACAGTTACTCAGTCCTCGTTGAAATGTGTGTGTTCAAAAATCTTTCGTTCGTGGTCAACAAGTTGCACGACTTCAGGCTATGCAGGAATGTGTCATCTGAGGCCCAGTGGATAAATTAAACTTGGAAAAATACGGTATCATCTATATGTACACGTTTCACAAAACACTGTCATGCTTGGATGCATGTATAGGATTTATTCATTGATGAGGACTGTCTCAAGGCTCTTCTTTACATCAGCCAGCCATTTTGGCCTCGGCGCCTCGATGATGAGGTCTTGACATTGCGTGGCAGAGTTGGGCTAGGTGCGCGCTCAAAATGGCCTCCGATGCTCAGTACACAAGAATGGTGAAGGTGTCGCCTCTTCACAAGGGACAAGATTACAGCCGCCAGAAATCGGAGCAAGAGTAAGTGATTTTAGTTACATGTAGCTTGGGATGAAATCTGTTTGTTAGAGGTTTGTACATGTAATGCAGCCCAAAACACAAGCTACGATATTCTTCATTTGGGCTTTCAATTTTTGTTTGCCTACAAATCCTGAAGCAGTAAAATTTCCTGTGACCAGTAAGCAGGCAAGGGGTCAGAGCGGGCTGGGGATTTTATGAGCAAAGTTGCAAATGTGTTAGAAATGCAAAATCAGAAAGATGAAAATGGATCATGAAGGAAGGCCAAAATAGATGATAATACATTTGAATATTGTGTTGCAAAAAGTGACCTGTAACAACAAAATGAGAGTAAAGTCCCATCCCACTCTTCCTGTTTTGAGGGTTCAAAGTCATATTTAAGTAGGGGTCAATTTTGGGGTTTTGTAATATTTGGAAAGAGTAAGCCGTCTCCTATTTAATTCCAAATATTTCGCAGTGTCTTATATTTACAAATAGGTCATTTAGGAGGCATTTTGTGGTAAATTTTTCAACACTAGGGAGACATTGGTTTTTATGGAGACATTTCAGTGTCTTCCCATGGTATTTTTAAACTACCAGAAGGAGGCCAAATTTTATTGTCCAAATTTTGAGAGATGATAGATTGGGTCAAAAATGAAAACATACAAAGTTTGGTTCAGATCAGATTAGGGAATATTGAATTATGCAACAGTAAAGTTGGAAAAATTTTGTGCACCTTCTTATGGCAATGTCTCCTTAATAACCCATTAGCGGTAATTATTGTATCTTAAAAATCATTTTCTCAGCAATTTTGATGATAGCATTATTTTAGCCTGGTCTGAAATGTTGAAACATTGTCATGGGAACAAAGACGCAAAGCTGCCAGAATAATGCCACATTGACACCTTATACTTTCACCCTAAGTGTTCCATGTACATACCATTGGAAAGCTGTCTTTCTGCTGAATTCAAAAATACCAATATCTCAGTTTTTGAAAATTCCGACTTTCAGCTCATTTTGTGGTAACAGGTCACAAATATTCACAAGTGACCTTTACCTTACTAGTGTCTTCGTAGCTCAAAGGTATCTTCAACCTAAACAAGTCAAAATAGTATTTTCCCAACGGCAAACGAACCCCTGGCTGTGTGCCTGCCTGTTATTTCCTCATTGATGTTGAGCATTACTTTCTTATTTAAGTGTCGTTCTGCACATGTGCTACTCGGCTGAGCAAAGTAAAGCATTTCTGGCTATCGATCTGCTTTCACTCGTGTAGGAATCTGGGGCCAATTTCATAGAGCTTGCTTAAGCACAAAATTTGCTTAAGCGCAAAAAAACCCTTGCTTAAAAAGCAAAGGTTATCTGCTCAATATCTATGTGATTGTCATGCTAACCAAGAGACAGGCGAATACCATTCCAAAACAATATACATCACTTGGAGTTTTGGCTGATAACCTGATTTGTCGAGCAAGGTTTTTTCATGCTTAAGCAAATTTTGCGCTTAAGCAGCGCCACGAAATTGGCCCCAGATGGCACTAAAATTGGTCTTATGTGCTTAGGGTCAGAGCGAATGGTTCTGTCATCCATCAAAATATAACGTTTCAAATTCATGGAAGCCGAACAGATAGGAATGTTCAGTTCTGCAGACCAGAAGCAGTGGTAATTGGCCGTTTGGGACGCTCCGTTCCATTTCAGTTGCCCAGAAGATGCATGTATTTCTTTCTCATTGGTGCATCAATCAGTGTCCATGTACAGCGTATATATACATGTACATAAACGAGGTTCTGACATCAATCATACCATAGTCTGAATTGAGGAATTTGATTTTCATTAATGAGATAAAACCTGACTGATGTATGCAAAAGAAAAAAATGAAAATACCAGAGCAGTTCATATGCAGTGATTTCATTGTATTAAAAAAGCAGATTATAGTAGTATACATGTACATGTGTAGATGTTCTACCGATATTGATCCAAGATTCAAGACTAATTTATTCAACCAATAATTAAAAGAAATACAATCAAAGGAATTTGTTGGACTCCCATAAACATTACAAATAACTCCATTAAAAATACCATACAATTAAACTAATTACCACAGAGATTAAAACAAACTTTATAATTACTATACACATACTCATTTCATAAAATCCTATCAATATAAACCCAGACAAGTAATGGTGTAAATCTGTTTCTAAAACCAAATATTCATAATTATTTTATGATTAAAAATTCCCATTATTAATAACCCCCTAGGGTGTATGTAAAATCATATTGAAATTGGAAGATTTGGGACCGTTAGGGTTAAAAATCCGCACGGCTGATGGCATAAAACTATTTTTGAAACGGTTGGCTTTTGCACCCATTAATGATATTAGTATTGAGTACTAATCAAATGTGGAGTGAGGTCCACTTAAACAATTCATCTCCGGTATACCTGAACATGGGCATGAAACTGAGTTGTCCTATTTAGGAACTGGAAGTCTTGACAATTACACCAGTATCCCAATTCATGTACTGTAAATGCAGTGAATAAGAAATTTTGTTGCAGGGGGAAACGTTTGTCCCTGGTTTCTCTTTAACTGAAGGTTTTTCTGTGAGAGAGAGGCATCGCATGCAGGCTTTGCTTTGAATTTTATGTACACTGTACATGTGCATGTACATGTACATGTACAGTGCAATCACAAGAGTGCCCATGGTGTAACAGAACATCGACCAATGAAATTGAGCAGTTTGGCTCATGAATTTGGTTTCATTTTCCTCTACACATACATGTGTAACAAGCCTGATTGAAAAATTTGTCATCCTGAAAGAAAAAAACAGTGAGTTTTCACTCTCAGCTCTCATCGCTGGTGTCAGATTGTGAATGTCTCTCCCTGAATGCCCAGTTAGAGGAATGCCTGAAATGGCCATCTCAACATAACTGACAGAGACAAATGCCCATTGTAATTTGGGGGGGAAAAAAAACTGCATGCGCTCATGAATTGTTTAAAGCAGCATGTCAAGTAACAGCTTCGTTGCTCAAAATTGAAAGTGGCACCACTGGAAATGTACTGGGTTTTCTGTTGCAATTAATCATCGGCTCCAGTTTCATTCACCGCCATATACATGTACCTGTATACACATGCCTCCGACTGCAACACTGCACATACATGTACACACTGGTAGCGGGACTGTTTATCCGGCTGATCCTGTGAATTTGTCATCATTTGTACATCGCTAGACCATTTTGTTGGGGGAGTCACCACAAATTGCAGGTGTAACAAGATAGGAATAACTACCCAGTCACAAGAAATTTTCCTAAAATTGGTGTATATTAGAGAATTCCCTTTTTGCCAAGAGGGGTTCTGATGTAGTGTTCCTTGACTCTGTCAATCAGTAGAGTGATCAGGATGTTCATACCAAGTTACCAGAATATATGCTTCATACTTGATACATTCAGTACAATGTATTTCGTTGTAATCTAAGATGAGGCGTATTGTAATACTGCACTGTACATGTAAGTTTAATACTTAAAAAGTGCATTCATGCATGGTTATTTCATTTCTGCTGTCTGTCTACAGAATCATTCTAACCTACGCCATTTCTTAAAAAGTCCACCCCCTTAAAGCAGTGACTCTGAAGCCAAAATTCCTACCTTTAGTGAAAATCCTTTTTTAATCAGAAATGACCCATTTCCTTGAGCTGCTTAAATATTACTCAGCCAAGTTTAATGCTGAGCTACAATCTGTGGGGAACCTGTCCCAGGACATGCAGTGTATGACATTTTGGCTGGTAACTTACTTCTGCTAAGCAAATGTGCTCAGGAAATTTCTGTGCTTAACAGCTTGGTGAAATTGGTCCGTAGTTTGAAGCAATCCTGAAAGTCTATGTACATGTACCTTTAACATGTTTAATGCTAACCCACTGGGCCACTTACGGTACATGTAAGCAATGATGGCTGGATCCATGCAAAACGTACCGTATTCCAATTAAAGACGACTGTGTCATCCACTCTTTAGGGTTGAGTCTATGCTATGCACACAAGGATGGCTCACCACTGCCATGTGGGCTTGTAGTTTGGTTTGACATCAACTACATGTACATTTGAAATGTATGACAGTAGTTGGTCCAAGGTACATGTAACAAGGTCTTTTCCCGCGCGAGATGATGAAACGTGCACTTCAATTTTTTGAAATTTTAGCTAATTACTGCTTCGATGTACTGGTATCTTCACCAGTTGATCAAGATGGAAAGTGCTTGTTCTGGTGGACTGAAAATGAAGTCGACACAGATCAGAATCTATGTTTAAACTGAGCAAGTGTTCAGTGACACCTTTAAAAGGTTAACATGTTTCACTAACATTTCAGTTGTGTGTAGGAGATTAAGTGAACAAATATCCTTGCCAGGCAGCATATTGGAAGCATCAAACACAACATGTACAATAACCATGGTTAATAACAGATATATATCATCAAACAAATCGGGCCATATCCTCTTGCGCGATCACCCTCCACCGCCTCACAGCTTGCATGGCGTATTTTGGGCGTGATCCCTCGCTACCGTACATGCCCGTGTATGTGGGGTCTAGGTGTATGGCTTTTGACTGGTTCCCCCTTGAACAAAGATACTGACAAAATGAGAAGAACCCTCAACAAAGGGCGGGGTAGCTTGGTTGGTGGAAAATCGCTACGGTGTTGTGAAGGTTGCAGGTTCAAATCCCACTCCTATTGATTTCTTTATTCAACTTACATGTACATGTAATTACATGTACATATGTATAATTTGATTGAATGCAATTGTAATTTAATTATTTAATTCCTAAAAGGAAATTAATATGATGGACTTGGTCTCTGAAATGTTGTAATTGAATTGTTTTTCAGGTGATCTTTTGAAGGTTAAACTACAGGGTAAATGGCATGTTAAAGGTGCACAGTTCATTTCAATGAATTCAAGTGCTCTTCAACAAATAACACACGTCCCTGAATCCAAAAGTTGACTACTGTGGAATTTGCTAATTTGCTTCTTTTTTTTTTTTTTGGTCCCTGTCAGTCTGGCATTGTCTTCCTGGGACACTAGCTGCTAACAGGACCTTGAAGTTGCGGTTCATTAATATTCAAACCTTGTTCATTTTGAAATCACCAACCATGCCGTGCTTGTTTGGAACCAGCTTATTAAAGTTGAATTACAGGAGGCATGAAAGATGGTACCGGTATAAATGCACAGTGAGCAGTGTGAAATGACAGATGCTTGTCGAACTAGCTTATCCACGAACGTGTGTAGGTTACTGAGAAGCAGCCATTGGATTATGATACTTGGAATTGTGACCGTACACGCATATAAACGCCTGTTACATGCAAAGTGTACAGTTGTGTCTGTGAGTGCAAATTGTTGGAATTCTACATAAGCCATCAACAACCGTGGTCGTGTACATACCGGTATGTACGAGTCCATGGATGGATACATGTACATGTCTCAAATACCAGGATAATGTTAGTGTGCTTTTGAACCCACTTCGAAATGAGCAGAGAGCGAGCCTCTTCTTCATTGTCTAGGTGAGTGTACGCTGATGCTGTCACAAAAAAGTTACGAGCATTCTCACAGAGTAACGTACATGTACCTTGCAGATGTTTATCATGGGACCTGCGTGTACATTGCACTGGTACATGTAGAGAGAGCTGTAAGATTGTAACATTGGTTTCAACTTCTGGACACGAAACAGATGTTTTGTCGAGTGATGTAGTCTGTATATTCTCGTAGTACGAGGCCATCTTTATCCGCTGGAGGCTGTGAAGTCGTAACTTTCCACGGCTCAATTAGGCTATGTAAATTTTGTCTGGCTTTGTGTGAAGTTTGAACAAAATTTCCCATATTGAAGTGTTCCAGATTTGTTGGTACTAGCACATAGTGCAGTGTATATAAATAGAGACATGGCTGATTGTACAGTAATCGAATTTGCACAGTAGCAAGATATTCTTTTATTCTTTTAGACTTTGACGATGATAAAACGAAACAATGCTTGGATTTTTAAAGTGAGTTAGAAGTTGTAACTGAGTTTGATGTGAGAAGCTTGAAGGCTGGGTTCATTTGAATAATTGAATTTTGACATGACCTTCCTTTTGATTGAATATTCCAGTTCTGTTATTCGGTTATACCAAACTCTACCAAAGTGGAAACAAAACATGCCAGTTTGTATGGGGATCTAGCTCACTGAATTTCAGGATAGGGCTCTGTCCCATAGTTAAAGGAGTTTAGGAGGCTAAGAGTCCAAATGATGTCAAGTCCTAATTGATGAATTTTCCCCTGAATAATTTGGCCTTATTTATTATTGACCCTTAGCCTATGCATCAGCTGCCTTCAAGTTAAACACCTTGAAATAAATTCTTTTAGAATGCAGTTTTGCAAAGCCAAGCATTGAGTTCTTCCCTTCTCTTTTTTTGTTAATTTTCATTTCCAGATATTTGATTTTGAGAATGTATATTTAGGTATTTAATGATTTATTGAAAATATTTGTATTCCATTTATTGACAGACCATACTTACAGTATGTTTTTTATAGGTTTTGCATGGTAGCCATTTTGCAGGGCAATTCTTTGTTCCATAGGGAAACCTTTGGGCACATCCTATAGTGTAATTCGACCAACAGAATTAGAAGCCATTACTGCAGTGGCACAACGCTCGTGGACAGGTGGTACGCATGCGTTTCATGCCTCTTCGACCAACAGGGTGTCGTGATTTGCCAAATACATGCGCACGCGTCAAGCTGAAGCATGTGCGAGTGCGGTACCACCGCAGTTATGGCGTCTAATTGGGTTAGTCTCTAGAACAAAAGTACTGGCCTGCAAGATGGCAGCCTCTATTGCAAGCGCTCTTTTGCATGCTCATGTGAATTCCCTGCAGAGGGAATCTGAATGCTATTCTCGCTGAAGCCTTGATGTCATCAGCATATCATATTTAATTTATTTTCTCCAAAATAGACAGTTTCCTTGTCTTTATCCCACCCAATGATGCTGATGTGCCCATGGAATCGAAATTATGATGCCATGGGCATGGAGTATTGATTTTCTTTCTAGGAGAGTGGAATTCTCCGGGTTGAGAAGATGGGAGGCTTAGCGAAAGAGGAAATTAGGTTTTACGGATGTGGTTATTCGCATCTTATGGAGGAGACAGGCAGTCGGCGACATTCAAGTTTCAGGCTTTTTGTTCATTTCACAGCCATTTGCAGTATTGTAATAATGAGCTCATTGTGTTGGAGTAAGCCCGTGACGAACATCAAGGGTGTGTGCAAGCAAAATTGAGTGACGGAAAAGTTGATATCCAGTTAACTACAGCTGCGATTGGTTGTGGAGAATTAGGACTGTTTTCCATAGATGGTTGGAACTTTGAGAACTTAAGCTTAAAAGTTACAGAAGTGTTGTCCAACTTTTCAGCGCTGCAATGGTCGTAACAATGATTCGCCTTTATTTCACATATGCACTGATTTTAGATATGTCACTTCTTTGTCAGAACGTCTTGGAGATGGCCAAGTTTTAGAAAAAAAAAAAGAAAAGCTTTTTTAGGGAGGTTTACACATGTGACTGTCTTTGGTGCAGGTGAGTTTGTTCGGTACACTGCATAAGGAAGATTAATTACATGCAAGATGGGAAAATATTAACTCTACATACTAATGACTGACAAAATTCAATTAGGGGAACATGTACTGGTACCAGGGAATGTACATGTATTTACCTGTAGGCTTACATTCAACACGATGATTGTGTACCAAGAGTGGTAATAGATTTACATCGGCCATCAACCTCCGTTGGTGAGGTATTTTATTTGCTGGCATCCAGTCTTCGAACTTTTGTATAGCAACGAGGAGCTTTGCATGGGAAGAGAAATAAAATTTCTATTTCATGGGATTATGTCATGGAATGTGGCCCGTGGGTTGTGGCTTGAGACAAATATAATGTGAAATGAAAAAGAGTCAAATGAAATTATAAAATGGGGCAGAGTTTTGCTTAACAACAAAATTATGATCAGTTCAGATGTAACAGCAGATGAAGAGCCAGCTTCGAGAGCAACATTGAAGACAATGCATTTCATGTCTTGCTGAACTACGTGAACAGTGTATGTAAAAATACGTTTTCAGTAAGCATTGTCAGGAGTTCTCGAGGTACAGGTGTACCCTCTATAATGAAATGTGCAGCCCACATTTGTGCCAGAGTAATGAAACATGGATTCGTTTTTCCATCCGACCTCTCCAAATGCTAATGCCATTGGCCTTTATAAGATGTGTGCATCCGTCTTCAGCGTCGGACACCTGGCAAGTCCCTATCCCAGGCCTTGTGACTTTTCTCACACGTGTTCAGTACCCCCTCTTTGTTTTCTGTGTCCCTATTGCAGGGTGCGAGTTGAATTCTTTGTGAATGAGCAGTCTTTCAGAGAACGCCTTCAGCTGTACTTCATCAAAAACAAGAGATCAAGTGAGTATAAAACACTTTATTTGTAAATGCACAGCTGTTTCAGCAAATCTACGTTGTTTACGGCTGTAAATTTACTGGTAAAAGGGGAACTGGAGCCCTTGTGGAAAACATCTGGGTATCCGTTTACAGCAAACCAATATCTCAAAATGTGATAAATGTGTATGGACACCAGTTGTTAATAAAGATCTGCATGTTAGTGGTTCATCAATGTACCCAGCAACATACATTGTACATGCACCCGTCCATGTGACCATCAAGACAAAAAGAACGTAAAATCACACTTCGGTTTTTCCTATCATGACAGTGCAGTGGGTTCACAGTCAGAAAATGAAGGGGAGGTCAGTTTGGGGTTTTGTTATATTTGGAAGGAGTAACCCTTACTTTCAATTCTAAAATTTAGCAGGATCAGATATTTATAAAAGTCAATTTTGACGAAAGCTTTATTTGTGCCTGCATGGTCAGAAATGTTGAAATGATGTCGGAAACAGTTGCAGTGCCACTGGAATAATGTCACATTGTCAACCAATGTTTACTTTGAGTGTTACGGTGTATATATGTACCACTGGAAAGCTCTTTTTCTTCTGTTGAATACAAAAATACATTTTGTTCCTTTTGTGCTCATAGGTCACATGTAGCTCTATGGTACTTGTACAGTACTTGTACGCTTTGGCAAGCATTTTGAATGCATGAATATATTTGGAGGAGGGAAAAGGCAGCTGGACACAGCCGTGCTGCAAGGAAGCAGACTGAATAATGGAAAGAGCTGGGATGCGATGAAACATTCAGGGACTCAGATTCTGTACCCCTGTTGATATGGGGCAACAATCTTTTAATCCAACTCAGAACTTCCAAGAGATTTCTTTTTTTTGTAGAAGCTTCATGTACCTGTATTGTGAGGAGCAGGTGGATAGTGTACTGTTACTTTAGACTTGTGTGAGTCTATCATTCACGTACAAAAATATTAGAAAAGACTCTACTTCTGTAAATTGCTTGCTGACTGGAGTGGCATGGAGCAGTTGTACATGTATGAATCAATAAAAAGACAGAAGAAAAGCCTTCCCAAACTAAGTCTTAATTTCAACATGAGCAGAATCTTTAATAAAGCACAGTATGTGTTGTTCAGTTTAATGTCTAAAGTGAACTGAATAATTGGTAAAGCATTTCTCGCATGAATCATCATTGATTTTTTTTTTACTGGAAATGTTTCTGACCAATGCTTAGCAGCTTGTTTGTTTCTGAAAAAATGTTAATTTGAGAGGTCTGAGAGAAGTTTCCTGTCTTGCGTTATTCTCCCTCATCTCTTGAGAAATGCACTGATGCCATCATTCGCCCCCGGCTCTTCCAGCTGACATTAGTGCCTATTCAGAGACTCTCCGGAGACTACATGTAGTCTTGCTTGATGGCAGGTGATATTAAATATCTGGGTGACTCGTTACATGTGTGCACATCTGAGAATTGCACGGCTTCTGCAGAGATTGGCCCAAAGCCAACCTCGACCAGAGACGGCAAACATAACGCGCAAATGGGCCCGGATAAATCTTGCTGTACATTGGAGAGCAAAAAAAAAAAATAGCTGGGACAGTGTTGCATGCATTTGACATCGAAGGACGCCTGCACACAGTACAGTGCAGCACGTTGGGGAACACCCCTTGTTTTGCCCCTGTTTGCATGAGGCACTTAAAGGTTAAGTTTGTAATGCTGGCACTGTGATGTTCTGGGAACAGTGGAATTACAGAGTACCAGCGATTTTTCTTTTCCCCATACGCCAGGTACTTTTCTATGCAAGTCATTTCATTGCATGTTACTTAAGGCTGATACAAGTCAGCGACATGAGGGCAGTTTTTTAATTAACGATCAGTTTAAGGTTTATGTGGATTTTTTTTTTACCAGTATCTTTTCGTGATGGATTTTCAGAAATGTTTTATAAATTGTAAACACGTTCAGAGATGAATCATTTTAACTGTCTTTCTGCAGGATTAAGAGTACAGAAACGACAACTAGAATACAAATTGTGCTTAATTTACTGCTACAGCAAGTTCTTGATGTTGCCAAACATTTGCCTTTTTTTGTCTTTTCTTTTCAAAGGTGTTCGCATTCGTCTCTTCAATCTCTTTATCAAGTTGGTATCATGTCTTCTGTATGTCGTTCGCATCCTGCTCGACACGTCACCAAAACAGGCAGGAAAATTCGGGTAAAAGTTCCTTATAGAGATTAATCCGAGCGGATATTACAACCGCAGTAGTGCCACATCACTCACGTGTGCTCTTAAGCTTGATGCGTGCATGTGCATGCGTTTGGCAATCACGACACGCTATTGGTTTAAATAGGCATGTAACAGGTGCCTACTACACATGCCTATCCACAAGCGTTGCGTTAAGTCATCAGTAATGGCTTCTACATGTGCATGTACATGTAGTTCTTGTTGCTGAGGTTGACTGTATTCCTATCTCTGAATGAGATCCACACTGATGCCTTTTTGTCCAGAGTGCTGTATCAGAAACAGCAGAACATTTACTGGCCTGTTTGTTTGACAAACTGTCAGTTGGCTCACTGACACCAGAATCTGCCTAATGGATGGAGCGAATTAGTGTTGGCATGGTTGGGACCGCTGATCGAGATCCAGATCCGAGAGAAACAAAAGTGAGGCCCTTTATTGAATTTGAAGAGCCGAGTCGGAATTCATTGGCAATTCCTTAAGGGTATGTTGCTCCTCACATGCAGGCCATACGCACGCACACGTTTAGATTGCCATTTTGAAATTGAGACCAAGATTGCATTTACCTCTCGCCACAAGACATGTGCTTGGGCACCATTAAGGTTAATGTGGTTTTATTACGGGAATAAATATGTGCTTGGCCAGTCTGAAACGTGCAGTTAAGACTAGCTCAGGAGAATGGATGCAACTAATGCCCGAGCCACATCAGCATTCAGTCTCTTAAACGTTAGTTTGAGACCGGCCAAGCGCATATTTATTCCCAGTCATAAATACCTTTCTTGTCAGAGAGTCAAAAGAAGTCAATATATGATGGATGTCCAACGAGTTTTTTCTAGAATTTACTTTATTCACCTGAACACACCTGTAATATTGTGTAATGCGCACTCCATACACATGTACTTGATGATATCATAGGTCATGGATTGACCTCCACTCAGTTGTTGAATACATTTAATAGTCAGTCGTGAACAGCGTGTGTGGCTCCGTTCATTTCCAACGTTAAATACTTAGACACCCGTCCATTTTATGATATATTCCCTGTGCAAGTTGTCCAAAAGATTCTCCTTATATGGACTTGGTGCGCACGAGCCAAGCCCCGTGCACAAAGACTCTTGACCAATCAGAATTGATTAAACTGTCTCGTATCCAGATGCCAGTGTGTGATTTAATGCAGCGGGCATTATCACTTCCCATTGGGCATTATCAAATGTTAATACGCTGTCCAGTTGCACGGTGTTGAAAAGGGAGAATGTCTGTGGTATTCATGAATGTTATTTCAAAATATTTTGATGGACACTTTTCCGGTCACACTTCATAGTTTGTATCCAATCTTGCTTTCTGCTGGTCTGCCTGTCAAACAGCCAAGGACCATTTAGCAACATACAGCTTTGTAATTCAACCACTGTAAATTTTTTGATGGGTCGAGGTTCTTCATTCTCCATGTACATGAACATTACCATGATGTAAGGGTGCGGAAGTTCCACACCAATTGTCTGTTTGAAACTCGTCATAATCACAGTAACCTTGGCATTTGAAACACAATCTTGGCTTTACAGTCCAGGGGCCAATTTTATAGAGCTGCTTAAGCACAAAATTTGATTAAGCGCGAGAAAACTCTAATACTTGATAAATCAGGTAACCAACCAAAACTCCATGTGATGTATATTGTTTTGGGATTGAATTGAGCTGATTTTTAACCTTTGTTTATTAAGCAAAGTTTTTCCCCGCTCTAGCTAATTTCGTGCTTAAGCAGCTCCCTGCAATTCTGCAGGTGAACGCAGAATAAGCGTGCATTTTGGTTACTCTGCTCTGTAGTAATGATTTTTAAAAGAATTCAAAGGACGCCATGCAGTCGGTGATAATTGAATCAAGCTTTTGGCAGGTAATACATCATTCATTGTATATTCTGTGGAGGAGTTTAGTAGAAATGCTCAGATGTATACACCTGCCACTGGATCATGTTGTATATCTTAAAAGCTGGCCCCCCCCCCCTCTTCTTGATTAGGTGCACAGACTTTACATAGGGAGCCCACAGCTCAATTCCAGACTTGAAGGGTGTTATCCTTGAGTGGTGACTGCAGGGTCTAGCTGGGTACCATGCCACGGATGCCTCAGTAATGTCACGGTTGTGGCAGGGTTGAGACCATTTGGCAAGCTCTGTGGCCGTACATGTATGAATGAGATTTCGTGGAATACCACTTTTATGTACATGTAGTTACATGTATCTGTTCAGAGCAGTGTTTTTTTGGGTACTCACCGCATAGACGCGCCATGATGCTCGCAAGTATATGCGCGTTTGACGCGGAGCACACTGAGTACGGTAACTAATTTGTTCCGGCATGTATGGTCTTTTTGTACACGTAGAATGCATGCAAGAATTTGCTTGTATCCAGCTGTCTTTCTTCCCAAGGAAAGATAGCCTGGGATCAGGGAGTCTATAATATCCCACCATGACCATGAATGTTGCAGGACTCGGGCCGGCCGTCCGTCCAGCTGTTTCCAAGGCTAAGCTGGCCTTTGGTTCTTGGTGACCTCCTCCTAAAAATGCATTTGTACAGATCACATGGGAGTCCTGATATGAGCTGTGTATTCTCACAAGACACCCATCATATTTACTCAGGACCCATGGAGGCATTGATCAGATTACTGATGGAGACCCTTCCTAATTGCATGTGTTCACCTGTTCTATCCTTCAACATAACGTAAATGCAGAAATATGCATTGACATGCATAGGTTCACAATTCATTAGGGAATCACTGAGGCCGACCTTGTTCATGGAACTAAAAGGATCCATCTCGGATAATGTAGACATCCCTTAAAAGAGTTGAGGTAAAACACCACTGTTGTCTGTGTTTGATACTTAACATTTAACTCTTGTGCCCCATGAAAAAAACATGATGTAGTGTTTATCATTGCAGGTTAAATATTGGGTTCTTGTTCAATCAGTAAAAATGCGGGCACAAATATGAGTTCATACAAAAATGTGACTGGCTCTAGAAAAGTGGGTATTAAAGTTGCCAGATTCAGGTTAGGAGTTTTTGATATGGCTGGATTCTGTACATCACAAGCTGCAATTTGATATGAATGATCCCTGTATAGTGCACTGCATTTCGGAGATACATGTACTTGTATCCACATTTTCAGATTCAATAAAAGAACTTCTCAAGAAAAAGCTCATAAAGTGTAGCGCTGGGAAACACAATGCTATGCAGGATTTCTTTCTGAATGATCAATTCCTCATCTTTATTCATCAGCATCCATGTTTGTAGTCACAATTAAGTTCTGAAAACAGAAATATTATAGAAGCTTATTAAGGGAAAAATCACAAAATCACATTTTTGAAGAAATTTTGCCCTCTCCAAATAGAACAGGCCATTACGTGTTTTGGCATTGTACGACTTTAGACCCTTTTTCACAGAACGGGTCACATATACTAAAAAGCCAAGAGAGAGAAATGCACAAATTTCTGACATGTATCTTGATGCATTGTACAGTGAAAAAATATCATCCTGATCCATCATTGTTTCAATTCAGTACGACCAGAATCGACATCTGCACCTGTATATGCCGAGCACGTACCGTTATGCTGAATTACTTATGAAGCCAGAAGGGAAAAAGAAAAGAAAAACAAAATCAGCTTTGCAGTTAGTTTACAATAATTACAATATGCGGAGCTTGAATTACATTGACAAGCATTGCTTGAGAGACATCAGGGGACGTGATATTGTTTAGCTCATCCGAATCAGAAAAAAATCAGCTTTGCAGTTAGTTTGCAATTACAATATGCGGAGCTTGAATTACATTGACAAGCATTGCTTGAGAGACATCAGGGGACGTGATATTGTTTAGCTCATCCGAATCAGAAATCCCAGTCAATTAAAAAGTGACTTTGTGCAGATTCTGTTCTTGCTTCAGAAGTCTGGAGTAACATCTGAAATCCAATCCCCAGTCTATCCGTGCGTCCACAATGGACAGGCGAGGGCATATTAAAACATGACATAGTCCGAGGGCTGATTTTGCCTGGCCATCGGACATCTGGAGTTGTTGTCACTGAGCTGTGCTTTCATTTCATTCACATCACACCAGTAAAAAAAAAATCTAATGAGAACTACCTTGTCCATCAGAGCCTTTTCATAAACACTGTTTGGGGGTTCCTGTGTAATTTATTTTGCGTTGGCAACACGTACAGTTGAAAATGTATACACAGGAGGATTGTAGATACTCTTCATTTTGTCCGGACGATGATTAGACAGTGATAAAAACGATAATTTATTACTGGACTGCATTGGGGAAAAATTATTTCAGTGTTGAAATGCAGATGTTATGCCCCAGAACATGCACATCTGCAGGTTGAACATTTAAGCACACAGTCATCACTGTGTGCAAACCACAGAATGTTAATTAGCCATATTCACTAATTAGCCATACTGAATTGAAAGCGAGGTTAATTTGGGGGGGGTGGCCAAAGAATTAAAAACGAAATTAATGAAAAATGTTCATTACAGATTAGTTTCAGTTCCGATGATGAATAGTTGTAACTTGAAATATATGATTTACATGTATATCTAAAAGTTATAAGCAACATATTTAAAAAAGAAAGTAAGGCAAGGAACCCAAATATAGTGGCACCACCCTATTGACAGATCGTGGGAAGCTGGTTCCCCTTCAGTAAAAGCATTAGCATAAAAGATATATTTTGTTCATGTGATGTGGATCCCCTAACTGGTACTGTGGCCCCCCTTAATGCCTGAAGCTTTTAACAAGGCTGGTTAGAATGAGCCAGTTCGGTATTTCAAAAAGCTAAGGTCTTTCGGGAACAAAGTGCGTGTACGAGTTAGTGTATGGCTGTACTGATAGGACACACTTTCGCACGTGCGCGTATTACTGAATAACCTGGTGCTGGGCATGCGCTGGTGGAATACGGAACTGGCTCATTGGGAATGCTGTACGAGGCACAAACCGAAGAATAGATACTCAGAGAAAGCTCTGACAAAGATCACTAGATGGAAATGGGTCATTCTATAAATATGGGGTCCAATTTTATCCTATCCCCGTTACGTCTGGCATGTGATTTTTTAATGTTTAGAACCCGTTGTTTAATTTCAAAGACTGAATAAGTACTGCAAATTGCCTGCCAAACAAATACAAATAATTTGAAATCAATTTCAGTGATACATCCCTAGTCAAACATGTCAGATGGTTTACATGTCACAGGTAACAGGGACAGAAAAATGTCACACTTTGGACCGCAAATTTATAGAATGACCCAAATGTGAAGGGACTGACGAAACAGACTTGAAGTGGAAGATCATTAGATATAAAAAGTGCTCAAGCTGCCTCAGATATTCAAGCCTCTCGACCCGTTGCAGTTATAACTTGCTGTTCACTTGCAAACTACAAAGCATGTGTACGTGAGCTGTGTTTTCCCATCTGTTGAGACAAGTTATTCAGAGTTATGTTGACTGTGCTGCTTCATTACACAGGAATACGGCCGTTTCACAATAGTGCGCCACCAAGAGTTTGCAACACGTTGGCCAATCATAACGCGCGAAAGTTGTCGACCCTTTCCAAACGTGCATTGGGTTGACAAATTTCGCGCATTGTGATTGGCCAACGCGTTGCAAACTCTTGGTGGCGCACTATTGTGAAACGGCCGTGTTGCAGATGGACCATTCTGTGTACATGTAGATACACTAAATGGAAAAAAATATGTATCCATGATGGGAAGCTGATGGAGTTTTTTCATTGGAAAAATTTATCAGCCTCTGAACAAAATTTGGAGAGTCCGTCAGCCAGCTGGAGTACCATTAGTGAGAAGAGAGGTTGTAGTGCCCTGACCTTGAATTGCTACCTGAGTATTCAAAGTCATGGTCTGATGAGCAGGACAATAGTTGTAAAGTGCATCAGAGACATTTGTATTAAAGGGGCTGCTTGCTCTTATATCCAGCAAGAAATGAGACCAAGGGGTAACCCCCGCGATATGTCCAATAGCTATACACACTCTATTGTTATCTAACAAATCCCCCCCCCCGATGTCTGAAAAGAATTCCTCAGATTCCAGTGAGACAGTGACCAACACAAAGCAGGGTGAGTTCTCTCCATCTCATACATGTATCTTGCTTCACATTTACACTTTTTGTGCATCTTTACGATTCTCCGTTGTTATGACAAACTTGTGACACAGGTTAGTTTGCACTCGGAGTACAGTATCCGCCAGTGCACTTTTTTATATCTTTAATTGTCCATTTTGTTCTCAAGAACTAAGGATGCTGATGTCAGTCAGGGAAGGCAATATTCAGTTCCAGTCTTGTTTGTTACACACGACGGCATCGCTGTACCTGTACTTCAAGATGTGATTCATGTACGACACTGCTCACAGTGATGAGTTGCCGTACATGACTGGTCGGCCTTGATATCTTTATGAGTTCTGGAAATTGATAGGCCCTGCTTTAGCTCTTCATGGAAGAAGCGCTTGATTACAGATCGCATTGTCTGCCTTTCTGGCAGGATGAATCGGCTAGCTTAAAAAGGGCCGAGTAATGAAAATTGGAATTTGTTTCAACTTGGTTACATGTACATGCATGTATCTTGGAGCAGTGTGGGGCCCCAAATTCACAATGTGATGAGCTGCATGTCTGGAAATGACATATATCACCTTGTGCGATTTTGAAGCCATAAGTTTACCAATATTGTTTCTAAATGGTTGAACGTTTGGTTCGTTTTCTGTGAACATTTTCTCTAGGGTATTCCACATGTATTTATGCCCCGATCCTTCAGCACAAATGGTAGTATTGAATTGTTAATTAGAAGCACACATAAATTAGTTGAACAAAATAAATGTGCCCCAACCTTTGTAAATTAATTTGGTACTTTTATGAAAAAGAAAATTAAGATGGTTTAAATCACGGTTTGGCTGCTCAAAATGGGCTCACACAGGTGAAGTCCAAACAGGCAAATGTATGAATTACAAGGGTTTCAAAGTCACCAGAAAAATTTACATGTGTTTATGACTCGCACAAAAAAATGCTGTTTATAATTCTTCGGTTTTATATCATTGATGCACGATGGTTCACTGTAGCCATGGGCGGAATCGGCAAAGAGTGGATCGTTTTTATCATCCAGTCGAAATTCAATATGATTTATGTTTTGTAGAGGAAGTTGAAGATACATGTAATATGAACCTGTGATGTCTGGAAACTGTGTCGGTGTCCCAGCAAATGGGCTTCACAGCTGTTGCTACTAGTATTTCTGCTCCTGGAGAAATTAATGGTTTCAGAACACACAAAATCAAACTTTAAAAAACAAAGTTGGTATCAGCAAAAGTGGCCATGTACGTGTAGTGGACGGTCCGCATTATGAGAGGAAAACGGAGAAATAGATAAAATTGGCTGTTATGCATGTACCTACTGTGCACATATGTACGCGTGTGTCGGCAAGTCTTTGCATTTATTCATAAGGCCCTGCACAGGGCGCAGATGACAGTGGAAATTACTGGTAATTATGTTTGGCGGTGTATATGCCGACCTGTCATCTCACATTCTCCTGCAGGCTACAGTCCAGCGGTTCCTACGTTTACCTGTCCCATGTTCTGCATGTCTGGTTATGTGCTGGGTTAGGTGTTCAGATAATTACAGCCGGGGATTTCAAATTGCGTTCTGCCGCGGGTTTTTGTTTTTCCTCTCGCGCTGTCTCTCTCTATGCCTACAAGACTACATGCTCTGGTGGTTGATGTTCAGAAGATCAATATTTGGATAACATGGCTATCCACCGAGTCTTTCCCGAGTTAGTTATGTTAGCACATTTCAGAGGCAGTTACTTAACAGTGACAAAAGACTTTAGCTAAAAAATTTGGTTTCTGGTTCCAGTTTTAACAGTTTTATGACACAGCTTTGAAATTTTGAGGAAAAGTTTTTTATTTTTTGTTTAATCTTTGGGTCTGATTTTTAAGTCAGCCTTGAAATGGACTTCCACTGTATGTTTTTGTTTTTCAGTGGGAGACTTTGAGGTGCTAGGTGGCGGCAAACATATGATACCGATCTTTTTTACCAGTTCTGAGCATGTGTGTGTTGTTCTGATCATGCGTGCATATAGTTCTGAGCACGTGTGATGCCTTAAAAAGAACTGGTATTTCTGCTACCACCAGCAGACCTGCCAACTGTTCCAATTTTGGAGTTTTCAAAAGCTTAAAAATCGGAATGTTCTGATCTTCCGGGAATAAAACAAACTTGAAAACTCTCGCAAATTTCCGTGGATTGTCTAAGAAGTTCACTCATCCATGGCGTACAACACGTACCCATGTATGCGCTGGTTGTGTCCGAATGGCTTGGCTGCAGCTTCAGTTTACGCATGACTCTATGGAAAGTGGGTGCAGCTGCAACCAAACCTGTAGATTCAATTGTAGTTTCAAGCCGCAGCGAAGTAATATAAATGCCAACCTCGACTCCGTCAGCTGCCTTTGAACCTCATAGCACGGCAAGCTCGTATGACTGGGAACAAGGTTGGCACATCTGCACCGGCATCTCAAAGTCTCTCATTGCCACAGTGGACCAATTAAAACCATTATTGCAATCCTATCTGTTCCACCGGTCTTAAAAATAAGTTTTATCAATGTAGTGTTTCCCTTTTCTCTTGTTGTGATGCACTTCAAGATCCCTTTCGGTTAAGCATACGTAAAACATTAAGTTATTGTCAAAACATCACAGCTCAAAGATACCACTGAATGGCATATGCCTCATGTAGTGTTACAGGTGTTTGAAACACAGCACAACGCTTTACATGTACCTGAATTATACCATTAGCTATGGTGCAGTTGAATGATCCAAACTTTCTCTTGTTTTAAACCCTCCAAACTTTCAGTCTACTGCAGTGTTCATGTCCCCTCATCTTCATGCTTTTAGGCTTTCATTTTTTTCAGTTTCTTGGACACAGCAGAGGTCACCCTAGGCACAGATGCCACGTTCACCACCACGACCCTACCTCCAACCATGTGGTATGTCACCCGCCTCGTCTTCCTTAAAATGTATCCCTCTTGCAAAGCTACATGAATAACTCTTGAGGGTTGTCTTACTGGGTTCAGTAGGTGTGATGGTGGAACAAAAGATGAGGAGTGATGAGTGCATACAGATTGAAGTGATAAAAAGTGTTATCCGCTCCGAGCGGAACAAAAGAGGACGTGTTTTTTTTTTTGGTACTACCGCACAGGTTCGCGGTGAGGCGCACAAGTACATGCGCGCTTGACAGAGCACGCTGAGTACGCGTAGCTAATTTATTCCGGCACGTATGGCCTTTGCGTACACGCAGAATGCGTGCAAGAACCCGCTTGTAACCACCTGTCTTTCTTTCGCTGATTGGGGGTGCACTTCAGCTCGGGGCGGATGATAAAAGACAACAAAGACAGTGAGAAAATTAATGGAGGGGCAACAGGCTCAGTTGGCTTTGGTAGATATTACAGTCTATCCGGTGGAAACAACTGTAAAATGTTCTTGATTTGCAAAGTTTGTATGCTATTCTCCTGAATCGTGTGGGATGGTCAAACTTCACAAAATGTCTCGAATTTCATAGCAAGTGCAGGAGCGACTTAGTCGTCTAATCTGCTGATAGATTACGCTGTCGAAACAAACAGGACAGTTTGGGCCATTTCCAGGTCTGAAGCATGAAGTTTCCTTTCTCAGCATTGATAAGTGTTCGTTTTGTGTTCTTGCAGCTGCAACAACGGCGACACTTACATGAAGGAAGTGAATTGGTAAGTTTTTGACATTTACGTACTGTTCTCCTTCTTCAAAATCCATTGCTTCAATAATGCATCCATCACTGAGCCTAAATATTCTTTGTTGGAAGAGAACAGATATCACCAGACCTCCTAATATATGCTGCAGGGTTCCCAAATACAGGCATATTTGTACTGGACCATTATGTACATGTATATTTGGCACAGTCTAGGTCTATTTTAACCACTTGCCAACAGTATTTTGGCCCAAAATGTCTACTTCACACAACCTCATATGTTCAACACTGTGGGGCACGCCCATAAGGTGCCCCTTTGCTACCTCAAGGAGCCATGCACAGCGTCAAGTTCAGGTCCAACACATGGTCCACCTGCAAAGACTTTTCAAACTTTGTGTGTTTATGCGAAAGACACATGTGGGATTAGCCTGTTAAACATTAGCCACAAGTGAGTCCAGGTGCACCTGACAGTTTAACCCATGAGCCGTGTTGTGTCGGTGTGACATATCATGCTTAGAGTGTACTGGTACATATACATAGAGTGTTACAGTCCAGGCCACAAGACCAGCCACAAGACTATACATAGACCAGATACAAGATTATACAAGACCAGATAACAACTTCAATACAGCCACAAAATTGAGTAGTAGGGTGAACAGTGACACAAGACTTAGGCTTTTGGTGCAGTTCAGCTGATATACACCTGTAGCTTGAACCCACGCTTGAGGTGCAGTGTTGGTCTTGTGGGGTTGTTTGATAGTTTCAAACGGGTCTTGACAACTGCATTGATTCTTGTTTAGTGCCAAAGTTGTTTTTATTGTTAATTTTAAGATGTCCATTTTGGGGCCCTGTTTGTTGTTAATTTTAAGATGTCCATTTTGGGGCCCTGTTTGTTGTTAATTTTAAGATGCCCCTTTTTGGGCTGTGTTGGTTTCAGGGCCCCCCTGATTTGGGTCAACCGCAACCCGGTCCTCTGGGCTATTCAACTCACCATTGCCATCATATCTCTTTCCCAAGCATTGCTCCTCCTGTTTCTGCAGCACAAGGTAAAAAAACAAACTCTCCAGCTTTGGCTTTGGATATATTCAGAGCCAACAGAGAACATCATGCAAGTATCTTCTTAAATAAAACTTGATGAAGTTTAACCCATGAGTATTATTTCTGATATTTCTTCTTATACATTTACTGTTTTAATTGTTAAAATTAGTTTGATTAGTTTGTATTGTGTTTAATATATTTCAGGGCCCTTAAGAATAGCAGTTTTATAACTGATAAGGTTACCCCGTGGAAATAAAACTACTTATTATCATCAGAAGCCCTAAACATAGATATACAAATGTGACCAGCTCTAGAAAAATGGGTAATAAGTCGCAAAATTCAGGGAATGGCTAGATTCTTTACATCAAAAGCTACAATTTGATATATTAATGACCCCTGTAGTGTGCTGCATTCTGGAGATTTATAGACATTTGTATATCCACATTTTAGATTCAATAAAAGCACTTTTCGAAAGACAGTGCTATCATGGTTATATAGGATTTCCTACCGAACGATCAATTTTTCATCTTGATTCATCAGTATCCATGTTTGTTGTCACAAATTCTGAAAATATAAATATTATAGAAAGTATGAAAGGAAAAAACACAAAATCACATTTTTGAAGAATTTTTGTCCTCTCCAAATAGAACAGGCCATGACGTGTTTTGGCATTGCACGACTTTTTACCCTTTCTTGCAGTGCGGGTCACAAATATGCCTGTTTCAAGCAATTATGACCTTTAAAAATATTGTCTGAAGTATTGAAGCCACAGTTTAGTTGCTCTAAATTTAGTTGCGCTCTCGTTAAAATTGCTGTTGGAACCTGTTTCTGTTAGTTTTTGTCCATTTCCATGGAAACAGTGATGGTCTCCATGAGGACTTAATGATGGAAAAGCGATTACATGCATTTATTGTGGTATATTTTAGTTGCCTAGCAACAGTTGCATCCAGAGCCCTCAGTGGAAGTGCCGTCAAGGAGCATCTTTGAACTTGCATAAATAATACACGTTTTTCCGTCAGTGTGTTTTTAAAAACTGCAGTTCTGAATATTGAGACTCAAACTATACATAATATGTTTCAATTACTTTTGATTGTGGGACTTAACAAGGCCGTGTGTATTTGTCAACATTAAGTCACATGACTAGTTGATACATGTAATATATGACATGTTCTTGGAAAAGTACATGATGCTTGAAGATTCTGAAAAAGAAATACACTGTTTTCACGATCCTTTTAATTCTAACCAGCCATTCAAATATGAAGTGAGGAATTTCAAAGTTGAAACATTTTGGGGCTTAAGGAAAGGCCTCTTCGAATAAACTTTTGATATCAAAACTGAAAGATATTCATACATTCCTTCAGGAAATGTATATATATTTGTGTACATTATTGGAAATCTAAATGCAGTTTAAAATCAAGGGGGAAAATGATTCCGAGGAGAGCTTTTATTTTTAACTGTGGGCTGTTTCCAGGCTACAGCAGAGCCTATAGCGCAGGCAGTAATGTGAGCTTTATGAAAATCAGTAGTAGATTAAGTTTTGAAGATTCAAATGGAGCTGATAATTGTCTCGACAGCTCACGCAGGGTACCATTCTAAACCGATACTTTGGTTCGCCACGTACAAATTTTTCCAGGTACTATGCAACATCGATTTACACGATTTCATGGCAGATTGAAATTTTGAAATTTCCATCACCCATTCGTACAACTGTATCCTTATAGTTCCCATAAAACAGCCTCCTTGTAATTGTTGCCCTTAGGAATGACCTGAGATCAGTCCTAGAACAAAGTCCTCTTTACACCATGTTTTTAGAACTAATTTTTCTTATTACCAGTAGAATCTTAGAAAGTTGTGTGGATCAAATTTAAAGGGATGGATACAACAAATACGACAAATGTGAATGCATTCCTTCTTTCTTTTACCTTTTTATGTACTGGCACTGGTCAAAGGGTGCAGTTTGCAGACTTGTATGAATTACACGGCAGTCTTGAAATTTGAAACTCCCAGTAAAAATTAATGGAAAACTTTTCTTCATGAAAGATCTTAGCAGAATGCATTTGATGGCAGTTTAATGATGAGCCCGGCAGATATTAGAATATTACATTTCAGATGTTCATGACGCTGGGTGTGGTCATTTGGAACATACTTTTGCAGATATAGAATACACGTACTTCGGACATAAATCAAAGCACATGAAATTCAAGACCAAAAGGGCTGTGAGAAATTTTACAAAAATATTTTACTGTTGTGAAAGGGTTCCGGGATAAATTAACACCCGTCGTATGAGTATGTGGTTTTTATAAATTGAAGTACGTTCTGGTGACGAGCAAAATGCAAAACTTACATGTACTAATGATAGCTCTACATAAATTCATTATTTGAAGCTTGCCAACACTTTCTTGTAAGCTCTGTAAAATTCTTGGTAATCAATTGCTGTGTCCCTACTACCTCTTACTCCTGTCTCGATGCTAACCATACGGTTAGCTTCAAGTTTGTTTAAATCATGTGTACCCCTTGGCTCTCAGGGTAGGACATTGTGTCTGCCAGCACACGTTTGCTCTGAAACATAAAATGTGATCAAGTCTGGGTGTAAAAGCCATTCATTTGCATTTCTGCCCGTGCAAATGGACTCATTCCCCAGATTGAGGCTGCTTGCATGTTATGATGTTAGTTTTCCCCTTCTCCAAAAATGAGATTTTCCCAAATTTGTCTTTCTCCCTGTGGAATGCCCTTTTGGGAAATCAGTCTGGTGACAGCGGAGAATTTGGCCACTTGAAAGAAAGAATAACGAAAATCGTCACAGAAAATGCCGCAGTGAGTCTAAATTCCTGCGTGAGTTGCGTCCGTACGTGCAATTCACAATGGGTGGATCATTCTTGGAGATTTTGCTATTAGCAAGGCCTCATGATTTGTCGAAATTGGAGTGAGTTTGTTTTTTATTCTATTGTTTTGGGTCTTTTTTTTGTTTTGTTTTTGTTTTTGCTCTCTGTCTGCAGGGCAGCCTTGTGCAGCAGGTTTGCACGGTCCATTTTTTCCTGGAGTTGCTGAACACGGTGCCCTTTATAATCACGGTAAGAATTCCTGACCCAGAGTGTCCAATTCCAAAACACAGCGCTACATACCAACCCTTCATAACACATTTTTGAAGATTTGAACACTGTTTTTGAAGATATTTCAGATGATAAGCCCTGAACAGCAAACTCAGCTCAAGGCATCAGTGTTAAGAGTTCACATACATGTACGTAGACACTGTACATATGCACGGTCAGTGTTATTAGAGTGTGCTCTGTTTCAGTGTTAGAATTCAGCATGTTCACAAAAGGAAGGAAGCCGGTGAAAGAGCCAGTGATAAACACTTCAGGCCAATGGCAGACCTTATTTAAAAAATATGTACATGAAGAGTGCTGCGTGTATGTACTGTGACTGGTTTTCTGTCAAAATGCAGGTATGGAAGTTACTTTGGAATGTCAATATGAGGAAGCTTTTTTAGTACCGGTAGTTGATCATGGCTTAAATGGAGACGCCATGTTCTTTGGATACAATGCTGTATGATGCTTTTAAGAAGACCGCACTCTCTCGTAAATACTCACAACCTTGTCTAATTTCTTTTATTTCAAGTTCATTTTGAAGATCTTTTGGATTTGTTCCTAAAATTTGTGCCTCCCCGGCTTTCCCCTCAGATGGAGCTGGTTTGGATGTTGTATTTGTAAATGAAATGTCTAGTTTTATGGCCATGGCATTTGAGAAGGAATGCTTGACCAAGTTTCCACGGCAGCTACACGTACTGTAGTCCGCCATTTACTGGCAATTTCATCGATTCTTTGTACTCACTTTTTGTTAGTGACTGTGAATTATTCTTCTGAGTTCACAGAGTGTTTGTGTTAGACTGAACATTGAACAGAAGGTCACTTCAAAGTGAACTCGCTGATGAAAGAAGCTGCGTTATATTGATTTTTTTTATTAAATTTTGTTTGTCTTGGCCAGCCGAAGGAAAAATCCATACTTCTCCGAGAAGAAAAGAATTCAGACACAGCGTAACGATTGCGTTTACTTTGTAAACTGGGTATTCCTTGGGGACACACGCAGTGTCGGGTACGAAAAATTTAACTTTTCCAGAATTCTAAAAGACAAAATCTGAAAGATTGTAACTGATAGAATAGGTCTGTTTTCTTTCCCATGGTGCAGATTTTTTGGCCCCCTCTACGGAACCTCTTCATCCCCGTTTTTCTCAATTGCTGGTTGGCGAAGGACCTGCTGCAAAATTTGTTCGTGAGTACAGCCGCCCATTGTTGGAATACAGTCTTTCTCCTCCTCCCCCCCCCCCCGCAGTTCTTCGCTTCGCCTTCTGACCGATTGCAAGCAACCTGCTGGACATATGCGATGATGTTGTTTGCTTTTTGCTCAGTTTGTGAGAAAAACAAATTTACCTCGTATGGCTGGTCAAAAACAACGAGATACTGGATTGAAATGAGATTGTATCGAAGGCTTAATCTGTGACGACAGGCAAGAGGTGTAAGTGAAGCAAGAGAATCAGATGAGCTCCATGCACGGTTGCAGTTTCTTTTCCTTTCATTAATACACTTGAGGACCTTATCAGACTAAATTTTCATACCTACAGTTACTTCTTCAGACAAACCAAGTCGGAATTAAATTGCTGACAGTGGAGAGTCCAAACAAAAGGCTTGTCGTGGACAGCCGACTCGCGCTGTCTGTCCTTGTAAACTGAAGGAGAAACCACAATCACTGTGAAGTCCGAGGGTCTTTAATGAGTGGCCCGGGTTCAAATCCCTCCAAGGCTGACACACATTGCATTAGCAGACCTTTCCTGACCTCTTGGGTTTCTGCATAGTGGCATTTTCTCCCTAGTTTTTTAGTTCGGTCGCAATCATGGAGGTTCTCATAATATATCAAATTACCAGAGCACTAACTTGCTGTGCAACGTGAAGCACGCTGGGTGCTCCACGTTTGTGTACAAACCCACGGAAAACTGGAACTCGTCACTTTACATGGCTTTTGCGTAGCTAGTTGCACATCTTCATCGTTCTTCTAAGATGATGCATCATCATGGCCAATGTGCCAAAACTCAGAATGCAGAATCATTTAATGAGCATTTCCCATTTGCTCAGTTTTTCCACCAGTATCACTTTAATACTACTGACTATTATTTGACATTATTTGGGAAAAAAAAATTTTCCTACTTATTTTCTTTGCGTTTTCTTTGAAAACACACTGGTGAATTAAAAAAAAAGTTGTGCAGGGAATCAGCTCTAATAACAAAGGTCTATGGTTGCAATGTAAAAGTGGTTTGAAGAGCATGAAAGTAGAAGGATCGCGAAGGGTGGAAGATCAGTATCGCTCTGATGGTGGAGTTTGTTCTGTTCTTGATCTGACAGAATGATCTTCATCGGGTAATGCAGAGACCGCAGTCAGCCTTATCGCAGCAGTTGATGATTCTGCTCTGTACAATCCTTTGCCTGATATTCACAAGGTGAGCTTTTGGACAAATATTCCTCTTATGTCTAACTTTTAAACAAGCTTGATATCATTTCATTATTTGGTAACACCCAAATACCATCCAAGGCTGCGTTGTTCACATTTTAACCGGTAAAGCATAGCAAATTTGAAAGGCTTTAAGAAGTATTTTTTTCCATGAGTCACAAATGGATTTCTTACATTTGAGTGGAGCAGAAAGTTGAGAAACCATTATCCCAAGCAAACTTCACATTATGGATCCTTTAATCCGTCCCCTTCCATGTTCACATTTTCTGCCACTGTCATGTATTTCCATTTTCCCAGGATACATGTGCTTCCACCAGCATGCTGTCATGATTGACCGTGTACGTTTTTATGGTGCCACGTTTCTGTGTTCCGTGTACATTTCTGTTGGTGATGGCGCTCAGCGACGTAGAGCTTTTGGCATGCTGGTAACTGTCAGAATGTGTCTATATGCTTGCTTCTGCTTTGCATGCGGTATGTTCTTAATATGAGGGATCTGTCCCCTGTCATGTTTTCGGGCGCATGCATACACAGAATGTCTAAGAGTAGGGTTCCCCTGACCTGGAGGAAATGTGGGAAAGTCGGGATTTTATTTTTCAATCACCCAGTCTGGAAAATGCATTGAAGCTGGGAGGGAGATAAAAAAAGACGAAATCAAATAGTGTTTGAATTTTAGTGAGGAAACTGAAAGGCTCTTATATAAAAGTATTGTTTTTTGTGCTGAGCCCCTTTACAGAATAAGGTTTTACAGTTTTGTTCAATCTTCTTATGAACTGAGTCATACCCCAGATTCCATTATTTGTTTGTAACAAAAGTCAGAGAATTTGATTTGCCCAAAGTTGGAGGAACCCTGGTGTGAGACTGTCTGTGTATTTTTCCGAAATTAGCTGTCAATTCTTTTCTTTTTGTCATTTCTGTTTCTGTTCAAACTTACACAGATGGCTCATTCCTAATTTATCAACCCAGTTCCCAGCTGAGCTTACCCTGTGAGGTTAAGGCAGCCCTCTTCATGAGATTTTGCTAAGGAGCCTTTTAACTTTTTCAAACATTGCATGAATGGTTTCATAAAACGCACCAAATTAATTTTTTTGTGTAAATGCACAGCCCTGCCTACAACTTCACCCTACCCCTGATCAGCTATTCTGTTGTCCAGTCAATTTGCGTCAGCTTTGCCTCGGCCAAATGCCATTTGTTGATTTTGTTTTTTTAAATTTTGCTCACCCAATCAAATTCCAGTCAATTTGCATCAGCCAAATGCCATTGGTTGGTTTTTCGTTTTTAACATTTTTTTCCTCCAATCCCATGCCGGCAGCTGGATGGGCATCCACCACTTGGAGAGGGGAGACGGCAACGGGATAAACATATTCCACGCGCTCTACTTCACCCTGGTGACGTTCTCCACGGTGGGCTACGGCGACATCCACGTCGACATCTGGCCCTCCCAACTCTTCATCATGATCATGATTGGAGCGGCCCTGGTGGTCTTGCCCATACAGGTAAGGACAGGGTCATCAGGGGAGGGGCAAAAAATTGAAGAAGAGAATGACATTTTTAGGAAATGAATTAAAAAAAGGATAGAATATTGGTACATCTGATGCTGGATGATAGATCTCTGTGTCAGATTGTCAATGGGGAATGTTTTGGGAAGATAAAAAAAAAGTCACTCTCCTTAGTGTTTTCAAGAATATTTGAATTAAATATTTACTTTTCAAATGAATGAAATTAACAAAAAAATTTCAACTTAGTAGAATGACAGAATCTTTAATTCGCTCAAATGCAGAAATAAAGTTTTGATCCAATCATGATAGTTGTCAAATCACAGTTAAGCCGTAAAAGTACGGTGTAAAGAATTTTGCAGGCATTGCACGGTTCTCCCGCTATGCGTGTATGCCCTACATTTCTCCATCGTCAAATTCCAAAACTCATGAGTGACGTACATGAGCACTGTCCGACTCTCGCAGCATTCCTCAGCCCATTGGAATTCATTTTTTACCGTCGCCTCATAAAGAGCACATGGTCCCTTGTGTGACAGATCTATGCCAGTGCCCTGCACGTGCAACTGTTTTGCCGTATATAAATAATGACACTGGCAAAGACTTGACATTTCAGCCATCTGGGGATTCTGACGTGACTGATATGCCCACTCCCAAACCTCTGTTTATGTATGGGAGCATAGGGAATATGCCATTGCCCCTGATTATGCGCACGTAATGCATGTAAGCCCCCTTAACAAAGATGTAATGGTTGATTTGTGGGAGCCGAGAGCTGTTCTTTTTAATCGCTTTTGGATGATCATTTTTCGCGTTAAATGGCCCAATTACTTTTATTCTTACTCTTAGATGTCATTTGTGCAAGATTTGTTTGAAAATTTCACTGCAAAGTTTTTTCTGCACTCTTAAGTGTGGTTTTATTTTCAATTTTTTTATTTGAGTTTTTTCCAGGAAAAGCAGGACAACTTAGCTTCTTAGGAAAGGCAGGATATATTTTAAAACCTTCAAAGAAAATAAAGTTGGGGAATGTTTTGGTTCAGTACAGTCAAAATTGAGAAAGAAATTTTTCACAAAATACATCAGAAATCAAATTTGGCAGACAAATTTTGAAGGGAATAGATAAAAACAAGTGTGTGAATGTAAAGATTCAAAGCCCAGATGTTGAACAAGAGAATAGTAGGATCAATTGATCGACGATGGGATGTGAAATGTACGACAGATGTTAAATGTCTGACGTATGATCAAGAGAGTAAAATAAAAGAGTCCAAGTTTGCAAGTGTTCACGAATATTTGTGGGTGTAAAGGGGACCCCCCAACGCTTCAAGCTACCTGTCATTTCCACACATGTTCAGACTCATTTGTTTTCCTTCCACACCTCAGTTGGAGAAGCTCGCCTACGTACTGATCGAGCGGCAGAAGCAAGGGGGAACGTACAGCCAGCACCGGGCCGAGTCGGGCAAGCACGTCGTGGTCTGTGCCACTGTGCTGCAGTACGACCTAATCACCGACTTCTTGAACGAGTTCTACGCGCACAACCTACTGCACGTGAGTCGGGCATGGGAAGTCTGTGAAATAGTCTCAGGATAATGACTGGTTCAAGGATTACCAAAATTCTTTTGCCTCCCCGCCCCTTTTCTCCAACCCCCTCCCTGTCCAAATTCTCGCAGTTGGACTGTTCAATATTCAGTGGACTTGTTGATGAAATATCCATTATAAGCGCTGCATCGTTGTTGCGCTTTGCAGCGTATGGGATCACCGTCTCACCTTAACAAAAATTAAGATTCAGATGTACATTGATATTGTAGCAACATTTCTAAGATTTTTACCAACTTGTGGTGTCTATTGTTAAATATACATGTAGGCTGTACGTCATGATTGTCTGTGGAGCTGAAGCATTGTTTAGTTTGTGACGAACTCTCACAATCACCTGACCTTGGCGTAGTCGTACAGGATGTGCATGTTTTGGTGCACTGTATTTGATCCTAAAAATTACAATTTCGCAAGTATTTTTAGAGCTTCGCTTCTGTAATCTTGTGCCATTACATGTAGAACTCTTCTCTGTAAAAGACGAGTGTCATTCCAGTGAATTCAACTCATTTGACAGAACTCAATTTGTCCTTGTTTGTCCATGTTGCAGGGCCACTATGTTGTCTTGGTGTCACCGTGTGAACTGGACAATTCTCTCAAAGCCCTGCTGCAGGTGCCGTTGTGGGCCCAGCGGGTCATCTACATACAGGGGTCAGTCCTGAAGGACCAAGACCTTATCAGGTGCAGGTAATGAGGGCTCCTCGTCAATGTTCTGATATGGATAAGACATTTGCATTGAGGTAGATGAGACGTGCCGTGGAGAACTACATTATTTGAAGCATAAGTGCATTTGATCTATCTGCTAAGCAGTGTGGTGGTCGAGACCTCTCAAAGACAATCACAAACCCCTCAAATCCATCACAAGACCAACACCAGACTGACTCGCGACTTCAAGACTGAATCCCAGTCAAGACCCCTTAAGATCATCACAAGATTTCACAAGACCAGCACAGCCGACTATCTCAAGACCAGCCTTCAGTCTGAATTCAGGTCGCACTAGCTGTGCAAATGAACGGCAACAAAAGCATTCCTGTGTCATTCTTCACTGTTATACGGGACCAGTTTTCTTTAGTCTCATGATGGTTTCAGCTACAACAGTGCTATTAAAAGTCTGTCCACATCACATGTGGGCATCAACACATGCTCGTATCAATTTGCCTCATGCACTGTCGTCGACACACCAGACAGAGAGGAATGGACACTGTGCATTTGTAGCTGTCATTGGTCAAAACAGTACAGGGCATGACTGAATGGCTTGGACTATTTTGGGAGAAATAGAAGGAATTTTATAAGGTCACTCAAGTCTTCCATCAGAGGTTTAGTTGTTGATGTGCACCCCAACCCTGCCCCGCCCCCTTAAATCAGAGAAATAAACCCCAAAATTTAATTGAATACTTGCTCAAACAAATTCTAGTTTTTTTGTTATGGGTATGGTTTATTTTCGGCAGGATCAATGTGGCCCAGGCTTGCTTCATTCTCTCTCCACGAAATGTCATGGATAGATCCGAAGCAGTAAGTACACACCAGTCATTCCAATAAACTCAGTCGGGGTAAGATCATTCGTCTGTGAGTACTTGACTTCACGTCAGTTTTCTTTAGTGTGACTGCTTAGCTGTGATACCCAAACTTCTTACTTCAGCCATCGTCAGTTGGTATCTATTGAACTAAACAGACCTCTGTGCTGAAGATGTCGCACTTTGCTTCATTGTGTGCTTTCTTCTGGCGCTAAGTAGATTGTTGTCCCCCACACTGGCTCTGTAGGAAACTACACACGTAGTTTGACAGCGTCAGTACCTAAAGCCTATGGGATAATTACGTACAGCATGGAAAAAAATCTTCTCTTAAAGCTCTCATGATGGCGCTCTTTCCTTTCTGCTTTACTCTGTACCTGTGTACGCTCTGTTGTCTTTCGCTCACTCCAGAGAACTGCAAAAGAATCATAATATTTGATTGGGACTTTCTCTGGGTGGGGTCTGTGTACCGTGAAATCTCATCAGTGACCTTTTACGTGTATGGATTGGAGGTTAGCCTAAAACTGCACAGTGCATGCGAGTTTGAAATTGGTTTGTAGGTCTAGAAGACAAGGAGTAACTGTACAAGGGTGTTTCCAACACAGACAGATCTCTTGATTTTTTGCTGTATTCATTTGCGTGATCTCAGTTCTCGCTGCCAATTGCACATGCAGAGGTACCCCGAAAGCAGCCTGCAGTCAGTGGGAGATTGCTGTTTCATGTTCAACCACATGATCGTTCATGCACCCTCATTCATTTGTGAAGGCCAAGATCATTCATGTCATGCCAAGTGCCTGCTAATTAACATATCTTGAAACTAGTGGGTGTCACCATGGTGTTATTCAGTTTTAGAAGGGGGTTATTGAGCCTTGGTTTACGTAGCCAGATTTCTTCACAAAACAGTGGAAAAGCTCTGTTGGTCATTGCTAAAAAATAGATGCATTCTTGCAACATTAGTTGTACTGTGACCTATTGATGGGCAGTGTTTTGCTTCCTTCTCCTTTTAACCCTCACGCCTCTCAGGCCTTGACCTTGGGCAAGGACCTCAAAACTGACCCCTCTCACAAACGGCAACGCGCCTCCCTGTTGAGCACTCTCAGGGACAGAATAGTAAGCACTCTCGATGACTCTTGTTGTTCTCACGACTCTTCTGTCGTTTTCTTGTGGTCTCTTCTGCTTCTCCCGTTGTACTTGGGGGTACTCATCTTGCTTGTTTCTTGCAAGAATTAAAGGGGAATTTGAAGTTAGCGGAGAATTTAAGCAACCGATGGTTGCCAGATATGAGAAGTTGGTAAATTATGTGCTGTGCTCTCCCAAAGCAAGATGGCAAGTTTGCTTTGTCGCCTGAATTTGCTCTTGTGGAAACCCCTTTAATCTTGCTTACCAGGCCTGGTAGAACAAACTTTGACAGTCCTTGTTATCTCAAGTTCCTTTCAAGCGTCCCAGACAAAGCTGGAAAATAACAAAAGTGCAAATGTGGAAACGGAAGCTGACAGCTGCTTCAATTAAAATCATTTGAGGAGGCCAGGGAGAAAAATGATGTAATTTTATTCATTGAGTGTTAGATTTCATCTGAAGTCTGTTGGGCAACCATTAAATCGACAGTCTTATTTTTAAGTTGAGGGGCAGGTGCAGAGAAAATAGGTACGATGCCCACCCTGCCCCGTCCCTTTCCCATTGGATGAAGGCATTTTAACTACCAGGCCTGGGGGATGAAAGTGCATGGGGTCCCGCCTTATTGTCAGGCCTGAGAGAACTGGGGAGAAATTGAGGGATGTGGCTGTTGCACCCTGGTTTTGAAATTTGCAACCAGTTTCTATCCAAATAAAGAACTACAGTAGTTTCCCTCGTAAACATTGCATTTTTGATGCACCAGTGTCTCCTTTTTCCCTGCAACTTCCAACCAGCTGCACGTCAAGCTGCACCGTGTGTAAAGTTTTTCACCGCATGGAAAGATTTTTCACCCACGATTCCTTCTCATCGACTCCAGTTTCTGGGTTTTCAGCCTCGTTTCTGGCAGTGTGACATGTTTATTTTGAGTACCCCCAACGTACTCTGATGTGGCTAAAATTTAGACGTGCATGTTGTGTCATGGACATTTCACCCACAGATTCACTCCATCAACTGCTCAGAGTATTTTTCTGGTCAACAGTTCTGATTTTTTTTAATGGCAAAATATAGCAGCCAGCTTTTGATTGACAGCTAAACACCACAAAACTAACTCACAAGAGTCATTTGGTTAGATTATGTATGATATTTCTTGTTGTGACCTCATCTTTTCCAATTTCCCAATATTGCTCTATGGGCACACCCTAATAAGGCAGCTCCAAAGTTTCCGGATACTGACTAGTGCTAGAGTGTGCCAGTGGAGCAATAAATTGCTATCACAGTAGACTGTGCACAGCGGCGGAGTTCAAATTCAGTACACATCCCCTTGCCTCCACAGACTTTACCCACTTTGTGTTTGCCAAACAAATTGGGATTTCCTTAGCATATTTAGAAGTCTAAAGGTTGGGCAAGGTGTGTCAGCTGTGCCTTTGATGCAGACAGATTGTGTTTACACATCCTCACGCACAAAGTGTTTTAGTTTAACACATTCAAGTATTACAAAACCACAGAACTCGAGCATTTGCATTCTGAGTTACTCTTCTGTGCTTGGGCACGTTTTGCCTGATTCGGTTAAGATGGAACCAGGGAAGTTTTGGAAACACCAAACTTAAAGATAGACTTCTGCGCGGTGCACTGGTTTCATATCTCTTTAAAATGGGTAGAATCTATGGGTGAGATGTCTCAAAACAAATATTGACTGCTTTTCGTAGGACCAGCCTCCCTCAGTGATCTGTAGAGCATTCTAGTTTTCCTCGGCAGATTGCCGTGGAAATCATTCAAAATAGTCAATATTTGCACGTGGCACCTTGCACTGAAAAAGCTGTTTCGAAACGACGTGTTTCACAGTATTAAGCGTGAAATATGTTGCTCACCCACTTTCCTCTCAAACACATGCTTGTTTGCTTTCCTTGTTTTGTTCTTGTGGCTGAAACGCTCAGTACTTGTGGGACCTCTGAAAAAATTTGGTATGATTTTGCATGTTTTCTTTTAGCATCTTCGAAGATTATTTTAAACCTTTCTCCCCTGCAAGGGGAACATGTGTGTTCTTTATTTGCATGGTTCTGTCACAATTCAATTTCCCAGTTTTTGTTAGCTAATTAAAGGAAGTAAGGCTCAGCCATCTTGCATGGCAGTTCCTTTGTTTGACAGGGAAAACTCCTTTGTGCAAACCCTGTGAAACCAAAACACTACCCTGAAAGATGGCTGCCACACGTAGCCTCTATTTCGATTTTGCTTGAATGACTGCCTCAGTTCCATACAGTCCCAAACTACCTGTGCAGAACTACATCAAAACCCACTTGATGCCGGATGACATATAAATACACACAATTTTCCTTCTTTGTTCCACCGAGGACATGTACACTCGTTTAAGAATTTCCGCTTTCATTTCCTTGGTTGATGTATGAACGCGTTGTGCTGGGTGGGGTCAAAGTTCAGACTGTTAGAAGATGATCCCACATGTGGACACTGCTACTAAGTACTCCCAACTAACAATAATATGGAAATGTTATTCTTGAGTAATTAGATTGAATTTGGGACAACATATACACAAAAGAGCTAAGGGGATTGTAAAGGTCTCCTTCGAGGAAGATGATTTGCTAGGCAGCCAAACCATACTTACATAAGAGATATGGTTGCAAAATTCCAACTGGTAACTCCTCTGTATCAAAACAATTGGCCCAAAATGCGTATGGCCATGGGGGATGTCTGTATAGGTTGCAGACCTTTGTGCGTGAACCAGTTGACGTTTGGAAACGCACCGCAATTTATACTAGGCAGTTGAAAACACTGGAAGAAAAATGAAAATACTTATGCCTAGACTCAAGAGCTGTGCCTCGCTACACATTTTATGGGCAGCGTAAATAAATTGCAAGGTTGAAGAATTTGCGGTAAAAAACCTGCCCCCGGCAGCTTATTCAGGTAAGAGAAATCCGACGTTACCTGGGTAATGTGTATTGTTCATTAACCCTAACAGTCCTCAATCTTCCAACAGGGGAAGGATTGAGGAGTGTTAGGGTTAATGACAGCATTGCTCAATGAGTTGACCTGCACTGCATTGATAGTTATAAGCATTTCAGGAGTGTATATGTACATGTACATTTACGTGCAAAAAGTAAAAAAGGAGCAGATTATTTGTGCAAAAATGAAGCACAGTCAGTGCTACTTGTGATGCGTGTGTTTAATTTTATTTCTGTGCAACGAGAGGTTTTTTAATTAGTAGTGACAATTACTTGGTTTAGGCAAGAAAAATTTGGGAGTAAAATAGATAAACAGATGTTTTCTTTGTTCTGGTATTTTGTTTGCTAGGATCAGCAGACCATCTTGAGGACGTGGGCTGTCAAGGATTTTGCTCCCAATGTGCCCCTCTACGTTCAGATCCTGAAACCAGAAAACAAATTTCACGTTCAGTTCGCAGGTAATTAACTTATAATTTGCTTTCATCGGTGCTGAGACACAAGATTGTTGAGAAGTTGGTTGCTCAACTGTGGTAGGCTTAACTGATGAATGTCGTGTGCCAAGACTTACTGTGTTCACTTGCTGAGAGTTCACTCTAAGTCAGGCTCTGGGCTGTCAAGAAATAAATGTGTTTTCACTTGGCTCGCTTCTTTTCAGACCATGTGGTGTGTGAGGATGAAATCAAATATGCGCTGTTGGCCAACAACTGCCTCTGTCCGGGGACCTCAACCTTCGTGACGTTGCTCATACACACGTCCAGGGGACAGTAAGTTGCAACAGTCGCAGTGCACGTCAGAACTACAACAAGCCCAATTCAGCAGCCAATGAATGTCAAGGGCAGAACTAAGTTTGTTGGGGGGGATTAAACAATGAAGGATGGGGCCTGATGGGTATGTGGCCCCTTGTGGGCGTTTTCACTGACCCACATGACCCAATTTACACCTGCCACTGTCGTCGGCAAAAAGTGGAGAAAAAAACACAGAGCCAGTATGCAGAACTGGATTGGAATGACGAGGACAAAAGTACACAAGTGGGGACCATTGTGCTATTTTAAAGAAAATTCATGGTCACTGTCCCTAAACATGAGCACTGCTGTCAAATGTACAACATATGATGTCCAGACTTGCCCATAGTTACGGAGGCTGGTCACGTGGCACTTTGATGTCTTGATTGGACCCATCCATAGGAGGTTTTAAATCCAATAACACTAGTCGGCAGTTGGCCTGTGTCCATGTCCTTCAGGAGCCTGTCAACATTCTGAAAGTAGACAGACAAAACTAAAAAAAGTATTTGACTTTTAAAAGCAGTGTGGTAGACTTGCAGGTTTTGTAAGTCCAGGCTTCTTCCATTTTCAGGGAAGGTAGTGACTCTAGCTCACAGTGGCAACGTACTTACGGCCGATGTTCGGGCAACGAGGTGTACCACATTAAATTGGGCGACAGCCGGTTCTTCGGAGAGTACGAGGGCAAGAGCTTTACCTATGCATCCTTTCATGCTCACAAAAAGTGAGTCCACCCAGTAAAAATTGTTGAAATTGAGAATATCTGTACATGTATGTGTTTTCATTGATTAATGATGTTCTGTTCCTGAATTTGATTGGGTTTTCTGTGTGGCTCACATGAACACCATCACGCCATCTTTGTATTTCTTGTTGAATTGTGTACGTGGCAACCTTAGTGTCTGTGTTAATACTTGAAGCAGTTGGAATGACTAAGTCACCAAGCTTTCAAGCCACACACTTCCGTTGCTCCGTTATCACTCTGAAAATGCTGGAGCCAAGGCCTGATAGACAGGATTTTTCAGGAACATTCCTCAAAAGGAAAAGGGGCATTCCAAGCTCATTTTGAAATAAGTCTCAGGGGCTGTAGAACCGCCGTTCTCTTTGTAACCTGAAGCTTCCTCTGCAGTTTTCATGTGTTCCAAACTTGTGTGGCAATTAGGCAAATCTCCACTCTAAACTTGTTTTCCCTGTTCAGAGAAATTTTGGGGATTTCATTTCAAGGTTTTCAAAAACAGCTTTGTAGCTGTAGCCTCTGCAGAAAGTTGATTCCAAACCTAGATTTGAATTAATCCACGCAGAAAGGGAACATGTCCGCTTTGGAGTACCTGCCTGAATTAATCCATACAACAGAACCTGTTGACCAGCATTTGATGTTGCTGATGTTATGGTAGGTTAGAGTACCATTAAGGGAGTATGTCATGTTTGGATGCCAAACAGTTGTCACGCATAAAGTTTACATCTGATCAGTTGACCAACGGTTGGTTTTGCCGATGTGTGGTTGTAACAGATACGGAGTGTCCCTGATTGGCATCCAGAAGCTGGAGGAGAACGCCAACATCCAGCTCAACCCGGGGCCCCGTCACATCATGCGGGCCACCGACACCTGCTTCTACCTCAACATCACCAAGGAGGAGAACTCGGCCTTCATCCTGCGCCACCCCCGGGGTAGTGAGGACAAGGAGAAGGAGAAGAAGAAAGCAGACGGTGGAAAGAGCAGCAACTACGTGCCGCCGGCCGACAACGGCGGGCTGACCCGGGTGGAGAGCGCCATTGCCAGCGTGGGCACGCTGGCACTGGAGCTGCACCACATGGGCGGGAAGGTGGGCTCGCCCACCCACTCGGCCGCTCCAAGTCCGGTCAAGTCACGGGAGAGCTTCTTGTCCCCAGAGGGCAGGGAATCGGCAGGTATTTTATTGTTAAAAAGCATATCTTCATCATTATACATTCAGGGCAGAGTCGTCCAGGAGGCACAGTATGCACTTAGTCTAGGCACTAGAAAAATTTGATGGCTTACAAAAATACCAGCTGCATGTGCAATCCAGAAAGTTCCAGTGTCTCTAGCTATGAATGTTGACGTTGGGGAAAGCTTCAGATTAGCACCTACCTGTATTTTACTCCAGCTTTGCTCCACACGAAAAGCTTAGCCTCCGGTGCTCAGCAGTGCCTAGGGTCTACGAGAGAAATAATACTGACATGTATACAGTACATTGGTGTTTGGGAAATGTGGAAAAGTGGCATTTTGCACTCTGGAAAATATAAAAATATGCACAGACTTTCGTCCACACCTTCAAGTTGGAGAATTGTGAGATTCCAAAAACACTCTCAAAATGCCTTATTAGTATTTCTCTATCCCTTCCATTGCAGTCCAAACCCCAGATAACTCGTGTCATAACTGGTGGAGTCAGACATGAAATTTATTGCTCATGAGTTCTTGAAGTGAACTTGATTTTGTTCAGGGGGGGGTGAGATTTACCGAGAACTCTGGTGCAGTATCGATCATCAAACACTTCCCCGAATTCGTACTGTACTGAAATTCTTCATTAATTCTAAAATGTTCATTATAATAGCATGTACAGCACTGTTTGTCGTTCCCACAAGCTTTCAATAGGTCATGATATTTAATGTTTTAGGTTACATTTCTTGCTTTGATGTATGTTTGATATTGATTACATTGATATTCCTGTTGAAGGCGCAGCTCTAGAGTACGCTTGTTTCTTGTGAGTCAGGTGGTATAGATATTTGTCTTCATGGAGGTGTGCATGTGAAGGAATGACCCAGCACGTGCCTGTATTTAGTTTTGTAAATTCTGTCCAGGAAAAAAATGATAGTAAGTTATTGATAATGTATCGTTGTAGTGCTTTATAAGACCTAGTGTGTGTTTTGTTCCAGTGCCTGTGTTAGATTGCGTGTCATGTACGTTTTGCTTACGGCTTCCGTGGTCGTCGTCAGCATGTGATATCTTTCCTTGCCAAGCCAATTCATTGTAGAAAATATCGTCAGATTGCTTGCCAAACAGCTGTTTCATGAAATGATAGGATAGTAAGCAATTTAATTTCCAACTTTCATTTTGCAGGGAGAGATGTCAACAGAGATGTTGCTGCAGACAGCTGTTCATTTAAAAAAAAAAAAAGAATTGATTACGATGTGAAATTACGGCACAGATTTCCCATTTCCCAGTTAAGATACATGCGTGTTGCCCAGTGTTGTAGTTGAGACCTCTTACCATTACAGTATCCCCGAGGACCATCACAAGACCCAATGCAAGTCCTCCAGTCTGAATTGAAGTCACAAGTTATGAATGAGCCCCAACAAGTGCACTCCTTTGTCAGTAACCCGGTACTTGTGACCAGTCTAGGGATTGGTTTTATCAATGATCTTACGTCTGGTTGCAACTAAGTCATTTTATTTCCTATAAGTATTTCTCACAAGTCATTCTTCCACAGGTTGAGTCGATTTGCATGTCACTCTTTCCCAAGTCAAGAACTTAGTGATTTGAGTCGGACTTATGTTAGTCTTAGTCAGCAATTCAAGTCAAAAAGTTAGTTTCTTGTCTTATGATGGTCTCCACTACAACACTGGTATTAGCTATCAGATGAGAATAATTGGGGTCTTTTGGGGGGATCTGAAATGTCTTGAGTTCTGTGTTGTCATTGTCTAGTCTTTCCTTCACATATCTCGGTTTGTCTCTTTCTCTGTTCATTTCACCGCCATCTTTTACCACCACCGTCACCTTCCACGCACACACGCAGCGTTCCCTTTTCTCCTGCATTCCTCTCCGATCCATTCCCCCTCAGGCCGCAGCTCCCTGGAGATTGCCACCACCTCGGGCATGGACCGCAACCACCTGATGCCCCCAGCCGGGGAGGAGAGGGGCGGGCCCAGTGACAACGGCTTCCTTGTTCCCGCCGGCGCCCAGCGGGGCCGGCGCCCATCCATCATGCCCGTCCTGGAGACCATGTCCTCGGACCCCGAGGACGAGCAGCCAAGGGACGACAAGCCTCTGCATGCCCAGAAGCAGGTGGACCTTGTTGATACAGAAGATGTGCAGCTGTGGGACGAGGAAGACCCGTGAGTTATCCCCCTCATTTGCATAATTGATTGGGTGGGCCTGTTAGGGTAGCAAAGTGGCAGGTGCCAGAAAGGATTGGATACCATTGAATACCTTGAGGATTTCTCTTCATCTTATATCTCACTCCTTATGACATCTTCCATTTGTAACTGAGATAGGTGATTGTTTTTTAAAGCGAATGGTAGTATTTGATCCTATGAACAAATCAAATGTCTAGGCATGTTTTGGAAGGGTTTCTAGCCAAGCTTCTACATCACCGTTTCAGTTAAACCCCCTTTCCCATAACACTGTTGCCAATCTCTGCAAACTGGGACGAAATGATTGTCTTTATAGTAGCAATGCAGTAGCAATAAAGGTACATGTAGGCCTTTGGACAGCCAGGCCCAGATTGGGTCAGTTCCATTCAGTGTGCAAGTAACTTGCCTCAATACTGACTGGAGCTGCCAATCAAGTTAGTGGGAACATTGGCCGAGGAGCAGATTCTGGAAGCTAAGAGCCTCTTGGTCAAATCAAGGGAGGAAACCCCTAAAGGGCCTGTGCTTTGCCTGAGCATAGTCTGGCTTTTTTAAAGCCAAACAAATAAAAATGGAATTTGAGGTACAGTAATAATAACTCTTCCAATGTTCTGAGTTTTCAAAAACCTCATTTTAAGGAGTACCTGTGATAATAGAGTTGTTAACATAAAGACCAAATTTCCATTTCTGCATGGAGCTTCCCTGTAAAATTTTGATTTGGTTTCCAACCAGAAATAGGTCCACTGCATGCTTCCTCTTGTAATAATACATACCCGCAAGCCATAGTGATTAAATTTACCAGGTTGTTGTTTTGTAGTAGCGTACTTCTACTTCCATCAGATCTTTTGTCATAAAGTCGTAGACTTTGTATGGATTTATCCCTCCAATGTAGCATTTTTTTTCTTTGCGCTTCAGTGTTTTAGCACTGAACCCCCATGCCCCGTTAGAGCGACATAAAATGAAATTCATGAGAGGCATTAAAAGAGCTTTGAAGTGAGCACAAGTTATTGGGGAAAACTCCCCACTAACCAAGAATGTGGCACAACTAATCATTTTGGCTATCTTCCCCCCACCCTGAATTTTCTTGGTAAACTTGGTGAAGCGCTTCAGTGGTGCATTAATGAAAGACCAAGTTTCTTTCAATGAATTGACCGAACAGTATATTTTGCTTTTCTTGTCACACGTTTGTCACTAATGGTTGATTAAAAACAAGAACCCAATCAAAGGTTGTGCCCATGTGGAGTGACCATCAGGTGCTTATTTTGGTCCGTTCCATTTCACAGGCATACAAATGATTTTGACATTGCATGACCAATTAAATTTTGGAGTTTGAACCATTGAAATATTGCCATCCTGAAAACAGTGTGTTGATTGTTGACTAATGCATTATTCATAACCGTCTCTAATCAGTGACCAACTACTGGCCAGCATGAGTGGAGTCCGAATGTAAGGGCGAAAAGATTTCCTTGAATGTACCACAAACCACGTCACCATCTCCCTGGTGCTTTTGTTTCTTGGAACTAACCATTTTTTTAATTGCCTCATTGCGGCTGTCCCATTTCCACCCGACCCACCCACTGCTTGCCTTTCCCCTTCCTTCACCAGCCCAAACCTGGAAGCCGGCATGAAAGCTGCTAAAGCGTAAGGAAAAGATGTACAATACTCTACAGCTTGGTTGTAGAATTGACTAATCTAGAAACTGGACTTGTAGACAGTTGAAAAAGGCCTATCTTAATAAAAGTCACCGTGACCCCACTCCCTTACTTTCATAGTAGGAACTATGATTGTGTAGAGCGAGAGTCACTCTGAATTTCGTTTGAAAAATAACCACTCCCAGGGGAACTTGTCAATGAGTGAAATATTGAGCTATTTGAGTGAGTTATTTTTTACTCAAGGCCTTGTCCTTTGTTGCAGTCGCAAGGAGTGTTTTTTTGGGAGGGGGTCAGAGAGGGTGAAATGTCACTGTTCAGAATTTTGAGAAGAAATGCCCAAACTCTGGCCAAATTCAGCTCCTAGTTCTGTGGTGTTCAGGGATTCAACTGTTCCTCAGGTCGTTGAGATAATGTTTACCAGTCCAGTTGGTAACTACTAACATCTTCTTTGCACACACATGCACCGTCGAATCATGTGAATGCACCCTGTATGGATCTTCTGATTTCAACGTCTTAAATTCTATCCTGTGGAATGTTTCCAGACTTTTGGGATTTGTCCATGCCGCAAAACCTCCCGCTTTCACAAGCTTCATCATCCATTTCAGAGTCTGAAATCCATTTGCAAATTGTCACACTGACAAACACATTGTACTCTGAGCTGTTGTGCACGTTGCATGGGTACGGGTGCACTTATCTCTCTTTTCTCATTTTTAAGAGAAATTTGCTTTCTTTCATTTGTTGTGGTGATTTCTTTTTCTGACACAATATCTTGTGTCTTTGTTTCAGTAATTTTCAGTCAATTTTTAGAGATTTTACAGTCAGTGTTATAAAAGTTATATTTGTTATTTGTGTTGTCAGTTTCTTTGTTTTTTCTTTCGAGCTTCACAACATGTCAGTTGAGCGTATCATACAAAAACATGTATAAAAAGCATTCTCAGTATTTTCACGATCAAATGAATTCTCACCTTGCAAGAGCTTCAGGTAATTCCTTTGTGCGAAGCTGCAGACTTTCGGGAGATGAGCGAAAAATTAAAAATAAAAAACACTGTTTACTTTAACAGCACGTAGTCCATACATATCATAATTTGAATTGATTGCTTGATGGGCAGTCACTTTCAGAGGACAATAGTAATTTGTACGCCGAATAAATATCTGTCTTTACTCGCTACTGCAATTTGTTTGGACACAATTACTGAGTTTGCTTACTGCAAACATTGGCTGTTCGGACATCATAACTATCGAGTTGCTCATTGCAGAGTTTCATCTTAGCCTAGAACCTGGTAGCTTTAATGTACCTTTGTTTAACTGTCTCGTGTGCGCAGTCCAAAAAGTAGAAACTTATTAAACTTCATTTGTTTGCATGATGAGATTGTAGTTGGGTTGCTTTGTGTTTAGGTGGACCAAAGGGGAACCCCCCACTTTGCCTTACATTGGCTACACCCCTGCCATGTGCCACCTGCTTGCCAAACCAAAGAAGATTTGCTGTCTGGAGCTCGACAAGGTAGTGACCACTTTTTGTTTTTATGAAAAACCGTCTTTTAATTCATTCTGGAAAAAAGTGAACCCATCAAAAGTACCACACAGGGAGATGATCAACTGATGTGAACATCGGTCAAATTTCAAGCCCAGTGGGAAGTTGGTAACAGGCCTTGAAAGCTTGGTGGGTAAAAACACAGGAACAGCGATGTCTCGTGTTCAAATCCCACTCCATTCAACCACTTTTACTCAACTTCAGTTTTTTGTGAATGGGTTAAAAGTCCGAGCATTACAGACTGGCCAGGGGCAAAAGGCCTGATTCCCAGGACATCGCCTTTTATCGGCCATTTAATTACAAGATGCCGACTGGGCTGCTGGATAGCTCCATTCATAAAAGTATGGATGTAGCATTCTGGAGGTCAAAGGCTCAAATCCCACTCCCAACTTCTTGAGCTAAATTCTGGTCCATTCATCATCAGTGTTTTCCGCTTTGAAGAATTTACTAAAGACCAGGCTAATTTGTAGTGTATTATGAGAAACCAGACCTAAGCATTGTTCCTTATATGTCTTACAACTTTACAGTTGTCATTTTTTCTAATGCCCACAATTTAAGTTGAAATTTGGACATTTGAAGTAACCATGGATGTATTTGTGTGAATACAAATGAACCCTTTATTGTGAGACTTCTCCTAAACAGTAATACCTGAGCATTTGTGTTAACTGTGAACTTTATTAATGACCTATCAAGGGCAAGCACTCAGGAGTGCATTTGTTGTCAAATTTGTTGTCTATGTGATTTTATTTTAATCCAGTCACACTGCGGGGCCCAATTTCATGGCGCTGCTTACCGCAGAATTCCGTGCTTACGATCTCCAGTCTGAACTAACCGCGCAAGCAGAAAAATTATGCGCTAACCCTTTAAGCACAGAATCCTTAGTTACAGGATGTACGCATGGGCACAAGCCAAAATTCCTCGCTAACCCGTGAAATACATTCGCCGTAAGCACAAAATTTTCTGTTACAGGAAGTGCCGATTTCTCTCTTGTGGTAAGCAGTGCCGCAAATTGGGCCCAGCTAAGGCTGTGTCCGAAACGGGCTTCCAGAGCTACGGCTAGGTCTATTGGCTATGCATCTCCACGCATTTTCAATGGAGCGAAGACCTAGACCTAGCTCTAGACAACAGATTCGGATGCAGCCTTACCCTCAGGTGAATATTTGGTATAATCCCACAGCCCTGTGAGCATTGCAGCTACAGGCATGCCGCCGAGTACAACTGGCCCAACAACAACATCATCATCGCTGCAGAGTACGCCGCGCCGGCTATGGTCAATTTTGTGGTACCCCTCAGGGCCCACTGGCGGCCCAAGCACACCCTCAAACCCATCGTTATACTCCTAGAGAAGAGGTACGCGCTGCTAGGGGTTACGTTTCTCAATCTCTACCCTGGGGATGGGTTAAAATGTCATGCATGCCTCGGCTTACCTCCAGCTGATGTTCATTCATGCTAATCGATTCGTGCTAATTCTAGGCAAGCTGTGTGTTCAACTTTGCCACTGTACATGGCCTGTCACGGTAGCAAACATCATATTTGAGGGATAATGTAGCTTAATTGGGGTGTTGCAAAATATGAGGTTGTAAGAAATGTCACCTTCAGGCTGTTCAAAATACTCCTGTTTATGTGTGCCATTTGACTGTGTATCAAAAGTTCGTAAGTCAAAATATTAGTCCAAATAATATTATACACTTACACAAGTAGTTCAATGTTTTAAGTTTGCCAGATCTGATCGGCAACAACTCATTAAGCACTGGCCTCTTTTGCCTGGTAGTCTATGCGCAGAGTATGGGTACCAAGTAAATCGACTGGTACACGAATGTAGTTAAACTTATTGTCACTGATCGATCTTGGCCTATGGTTGCCCCAGGCAGACTCTGGGACTAGTTCTGATTTTTAATCAAGGGAGCCATTGGGTTGTTGGTAAACTTCTGTCCAAAATTCAGACCACACATTTCTAAAATTTCGTGGGTAGTCAAAATCATTTAGCTCACTTCATAGCAGTATGCTCTAGGCCTACTTTTGTCTGCTTCCTTTGACAAGTATTTGACTCTTTGCCATTTTCAGACCAGATACGGCTTTCTTGGACTGCATCTTGTCATTCCCAATGGTCTACTACATGATCGGCACCATCGAGAAGTGAGTTAATTTTTGTAATCAATCGTAGCATGGCATTTCCCCCATGTTTCCTGAACCATACTTTAACTGAGTGCTCACATGGAACCCAGAACAGCACTACCACTTAAACCGGAAGTAAGCCTTCTATGGCTTCAAACTCAAGCTGGGAGAGATCCTGCTAGGGGAAAGCTTCTGATCCAACAGGGAAATCCTGAGGCCCACGATACGGATCTCTAGCAAAATAGAAAGCGCTTTTATCGTAATTTCAGGAGCCTCACCACAGATCTGCATGGCAAACCTGTTGATCAGTTGGAATTCGCTGTCGGAACTCCTTAAGTTATGATCACAACCTCCTGCCACTCTATCTTAAATGAGTCGGATTCATTGTATCCTTTGTGTCTTACGTTCACAGCTATGATGATGTCTTAAGGGCAGGAATCCTTCAAGCCGACACCGTTGTTGTTGTTGACAAAGAGAGTTCCAAACTTGCCGACGAGGACTACATGGCTGACGCTAACCAAATTGTTGCAGTGCAAACACTGTTCAAGTAAGTCCGTCACAACATGTAGGTTGTCTCAGCTTATTGTGAATAACATAATGCCATGTTTTGGATTTTTATGGCATGGTCCATGGATTTTTTTTACACCCTCTGGGGCAGATGGCACGTTTTTGTACTGTGTCATATATGAGTCTTTTGATGTGTTGAGCTTTCCTTCATTCCTGTTACCCCTTGTGTAGGTTGTTTCCCCATGTGAGCATCATCACCGAGCTGACCCATCCCTCTAACATGCGCTTCATGCAGTTCAGGGCCAAAGACGTCTACGCGCTCAAAATGGCTGACAAACAAAAGGTATGTAGGGCTAGGTTTGGCCATTTGGTTGAGTGCTTGAGAAGGTTGCGGGTTCGAATCCAACTACATCAGACCATTTTTGGTGTCATCGAAACTTGATTGCAAGTCATCCGAGTCAGTGTGTCCAAAAAGATGATTAAAAAATTATATCTGTCTAAATGATTATCACGGTTGTGGCCAACATTACTGGTTTTGTGACCTAAGATGTCTTCACTAGTCCAGTGCACACATCTGAACAGAACTGTGCCTGAGTCTTCAAGTCTATGACATTGGCGCATCACTTGGAAGAAGAGGTCCTAGGTTCAAATCCTTATTCACTTTCTTTGCACATCCGAAAATGATTAAACTGTTCAGTTGGAGCGGCTGCTTTTTTTTGGTGTTTGATTTCAGAAAGAGAAGGCCAAAGGGTCCAACATTGCCTATATGTTTAGATTACCCTTCTCAGCTGGCAACGTCTTCAGTGCAAGTATGCTGGATACTCTTCTCTACCAGGTAATTTCCCTGAGCTGGAAGAATATCGGATTTCAACGCGCCAAATGAAATGAGAGAAAAAATGAAATACTCTGAGGGATTTACTAATGTAAATTGCTGTCTGATGTGGAATTCAAGAAGGGTGTACTCTTAATTTGCTGTGACATTCAAGAAATGAAACTGTGATAGCTTGCCAATTCTCTCTGCTAATGGGACACCCATTTCTCAGTCTTGTGTAACCAATGTGTTGTCGCTGCCTTTTTTTGGCCTTGTTTTAGTCTTACGTTAAGAGCTACATGATCTCCTTCACACGGCTGCTCTTGGGCCTGGACCAGGCGCCGGGCTCTGGCTACCTTTGTGAACTGAGGATCACGGCCGAGGACATGTGGATCAGGACCTACGGCCGCCTCTACCAGAAGCTTTGCTCCACCACCCATGAGATCCCCATAGGGGTGTACCGAACCCACAGCCAGTCCGACAACAAATCTGAGGTTAACCTTTAAAAAGTTTGTCCATGGTATCTTGACTGGAAATTTGAAGGGTGGGCCAAGTGGGCTTTGCACTGGTCATTAATATTTTATTGAGATTCTCCACCGTAAAGTCTGCTCACGGAGTAAAATCCCCACCTTTTGTGTGTGTGTGTCCCATCAGCTGTCGGTGACCATCGAGGATGACGACAACTCCTCCTTGGGCGTGTCGGAAGAGAGGAAGGAGATTGCCAGCATCATCAGGATGAAGATGCAGAAGATTGACCTCCCTGCTGAAGAATATGGTAACCATCTCTCCCTTCCCAGGTCCCCCCTCCCCCATCGCTTTCACTGGTTGTTCTTGAGTTGACGCTGCTGTTAGGTCGAGAGGTTCCCAGTCCTCCACTCCTCGTGTGGGTAGCTTAATCACTTTTTTTGTCATGGGTCCTGACTTATGACTGCCTATCGATTGTAATGTAGGCTTCAGTGGGAGTAATGTTGGCATATCATATGGAGTGCAAAAACCTTTGAAGTCCATAGGGACCAAATCTTAATTTGAAAAGAATGCCACTATCTTGGACTGTAGATTTGTACGAGATCTGAAATTTGCTTTAACTTTGCACTGATAACTCTTGATAGCTTAGATCACGCGAAAGCCCTTGAAAATGTCATCTGTTTCCATTCTAAGTAGCTTTAGCTAATTTTACAGTAGTTTTGCTATTGTGCCGAGTGTAACAGAGGATGGCTTAATGATAGCTTCCGAGGTAATTTCTGCCAAGAACACCATTTTTTAAACTAAGGTTTTCCTGCTTGAAAACAGCTCCAGAAATTGGTGCTGTGAAATGGAATCTCTTGCATTGAGAATCAGCAGGCATCCAAATGGAACATTGTGGTACTCGGATCGAAATTACCAGATGAGAGATAACCGTGACCTACACTGTACCATGTTGCTTGTTTGTTGCGCCCAACAGATAGCGAAGTAAGTGACAAGCGGAACAAGTTGTCGTATGTGCTGATCAACCCGAGCTTTGATTTGAAGCTGGAAATGGACGACGTCATGTAAGTGTTCGACTGGTGAACAATACAGCACTGAGTTAGTTCAATTAGTGGCCTTCCCACATTCAAAGAGTTCCAGGGGATATTGGAAAGAGTAATTAATCCTTCGAGATTCTGGGTTACTGAGATCCAGGAAATGTTAATTTGGGGTTACCAATCACACAATCCAGGGTTATTACTTGCCAAAAAGCAGCTTAAAATTGGTTACCAGTCATGCAGTGTGTGCTGCACATACCGATTATTGTGAGTTGTGAAAGAATGAAGCATTTTCCTGAGGAATGTGTTTTTAGGGTGGGGTGTAAAAAACATTGAGACAGTTCTTGTTTTCTGAAGTTTGCCATATAAGTGGGATGAGATTTCCCCCACTCACTATTTTTAACCCTAAAAGAGCTGGGGGGAGGAGAGGGGGAGGTTCCATTATCTCTGATATCATCACAAACCACAACGCATGGCTAAGTTTCTACAAGACAGACTAAAACTTTTCTCGGTGCAAGATGCAGGAGAAAAAGTAGGGCTGCCTTTTTGTCGGAGGAATCGTCTTTATTTTAATCACTCTACTCTTTCTCTCAGCTTCATCATCAAGCCTGCCGGAGGCCCCAAGACGCCATCCCCGATGCCCCCGCGCCGAAAATTCAGCAGCCGGCGGAAGCCCAAGAAGGCAGAGCCGCGAGCCGAGCCGCAAGGCAGCAATGTGGACACCAAGCTATAGCGCCCGGGAGGGGCGGGGTGAGTGTAACACAGGGGGAGGGTGCAAACAATGCACGCTAACTGCCGCAGCAACAGAGAATGAGATGGGGGAAAGGAGATTGCTCAGAGTTCTGAAAACATTGGTGTTCCCTCTGGCGAAATTGGATTTTGCTGTCAGAAGTGGGTGTAATCTTGACCAGGATGACAGTTTGGAACCTTTGTACTTAAAGGGGTCACCCAGTTTAGGAGAATTTGCTGCTCCTCGTTATCAGACTGAAGAATCGCAAGGTGACCCAGTAGCTTCAGGAGTGAGCTTTGCGACAGGAAAAGGGCCAAGTTCCACAGCCAATATGTGATCAGCTTCATTGAAAGAAATTACTTTTCATACCAGGAAAGGAAACAAAGTCTCCCTTCGGAGCAGATTGGCGAAGATGATTCCTTCAAAGACATATTTGGGGGATTGCATCGGATTACTGGATAAAATGGATGTCCGCCCCTCACAACACAGAGGGGAGCTATCGAATCTTTTAAACGAGCCCTCTGTTGGCCTTTTATGAACATTTGCCCCCAAAAATCCTATCTTGGTATCAGTTGAGGTAGAAGAGCTTTGGCGGTAGCTGTTTAAGCATGGGCTGAAAAGAAGACTAAGAATTTTCAGTATTAGGTCACATTGAAAATGTACATTGCGTGGTTTTTATTTATTTATTGTGGGGCTGGCCCCGGAGGAAATCGTAGATCTTGCTTGTAAACTAGTCAGAGCATTTAAAATTATAAAAGAAAACCATCTTGTGAAAAAAGTGTAGTCACTATATAGTGTCTGAAATTTCTTTCGTGGAAAGTGCCACCTGGACCTACGCAAACCCCAATCTTGTCCAGTCCCGTGCAATTTTCATAAAATCAAATCATTGAACGCACATTAACACAAACTAAGTCACGGTCATTAAGCAGTGTGACTCCATATTGTTTCTGTAGGAACACTTTGGTTTTTTTAATTTAAAATAAATATTGCATTTTTTCCTTATCTGTAAATATTTCATGACCAGCAAATGGTAAAGAAAAGATGTTAACAAAGTTTAAATTCATTTTTGAAGTGCTCCAAGTGGTATTAATTTGTATTTTAGAGGTTTTATTACTTTCAAAACCAGGATAGCAGCTGCTTTTCAGTAATCACAAAGTTTTTCATTTTATAAACCCTTTCATTGTACATTATCCTGAGTTTTGGACCCTTGCAGTTTTGTTGTCAGGACAGAAGGAAAGTTACAAGTTTCAAATCAGACATTGCACAATGACGAGTCGTCACCTTGTCTTCTTGGAAGGTCGTTGTCAAAATTGTTGGGAGTTATTTAGAAAAAAGAGCTTTGTGCTGGATTCAGTTAGCTCAACGTGCACCGTGTGGAGAGGAAAAATTCAGTGTTTCACTGTGGTTGTATGACCTTTGACCTTGCCATGAGCCCATTCATGTAGATTTACATGTACTTCATTCTGTGTTCAATTGTATTTGTTACACTGCGTTGTTTGTCACCCAATTTTGAAATTACAAATTTATTGGGTTTTTTGAGAGTGCAATGTCAGATTTTAATTTGGCTTGTTTGTGCAGTATGTGATATTGCTCATTATTCCGCTTTCCATTTTTTTCTTTCAGTGGTGTTTCAATGCAGTTATACTTCATTTCCAAAGTGAAAATATGCCACTTTCTGGCCCTCCAAGTTAAGGGGGGCCTGGACTTTAATATGCGTCATTGCAAGGAATTGCCAGTTTACAAATGGAAAATATGCATTTTCGTAAGTTTTGCCCAACACATGCAGTTTTCCATCTGTCGAATCGTTAGATGTGATAAGGATAGCTTCAGTCTTGGCTAAGGCATGTGTGACACAAGTGTACAAGTCTCAGATTTACTAGAAGTACTGTATGTGTTTCCCATGTAGATGTTCTCTTGTACCGGTAGCTAAATGTATATCTCTGGGAAAGTTCTCGGTGCATTATTGCAAACACAACAGGGCTTCAACCTCTCTTTCTGAATGAGCTGTAATACCTTTTGAAATGTTCTTGCCTTGAAGAAAGCTCAATCATTTAACTTCTTGCTTATTCAGCCTTGAATTACTAGATACAACTCATCAACCAGACACAAGTAAGATGTTTTACTTGGTTTGTACCCCATCTTTGTGTAGGCGATACCCCTGTGCAGTCTGCCAACTTGCTATCCCAACCCTATTTGTATAAATTTTTACTTGTATATATAGAAATCATCCATGGAATACCAGTGGTGTACAAATGCAAGTGAACCGGATCTTGAACTTGGTACTTGAAAATGGAGTACAAAATATCTGTATGGATCATACTTGGAATAGAGCCTTGTGTATTAAACTATTGTCATCGGGCAGAACGGAGTCTTTGGAGAAAGGGGATTGATCTTTTCTGTCAAAAGCACCCACTGTTTCCCTTTGATTCTGGTTTGCCACCCTAGAAATCTCTGAGTTCGTAGAGTTGAGGTTTCTTAACACAGAAGTAGTCACACTGTTTGGATATGGTAACACAGAAGACCCGGGTTGTCCTGGAAAGTCACATTTTTTCACCACACAGTTGTGGCTGTTGTAGAATATCCTGGTATATCTCTCCCAGTCCCTTCCAACTCGGTGGAAATTTTTCCCTTTCCTTCAAAAATCTAATATGGTCAGGTGATGATTGGTGCATTTGTAACATGTAAAATATTCAACGTAACTATTCAGAAGTAAACCATTATGATCAAAATCAGGAAGTATATAACAAGTGCTTTACATCATTGGGTCAACTTTCTTTTTATTAAAAAAGAATAGACCTGACGACTGTCTTTCAGTCTCTATTTTAGAATTTATTTTATAAAAGCATAAGCATATTGCATAATAAAATTAGACATATGTAAATGAAATATTTATGGAAAGTTCCCCAACTTTTCAAACTAATCTACATGTATATCATGGTTCAGTTTCTTTCATATTTTGGGAGGCAATTAGTTGATTTTGCTTTTTAAATCTGTCAAAAGTGTAGCGAGATACCTGTTCGTGAGCCATGAATCACCCCTTAACATTTTGTTTTTGGTTGTCGTTAATTCACATGGAGGTGGCAGACCTTTTGTTGAACTAAATCTTGCCCTCATGTTTAAATCAGACATATGCATGGATCCAGATGTCGCTTTGTTATGAAGTCATAATTTAAAGGAATGAACATATGATTTGTGATGATGACTTTAGATATTTTGTTTAGATATTTTGTTTAGTGCAATGTAAAGGTATTATTATTTTGACTTTTTATAAAGCTTGTACTGTAAAACGTCTGAATGGCTGGACACATGGAGTGAAATTTTGCTCTGGGGCCAAAAAAACCTTTTGCAAACTTTAACAAAGAAACTACATGTACCTATTATTGTACATAATTACTTCAGAGTCTTGTATCCTGAATTGGACATTTCTGTGAAGTGAATGCTGCCCTCGTGCAGGGGCATGGCGATTTTTCTGGGCATGGTTTGTGACAGGTGCTATTTGTCAAAAATGGGCGGGGTGTGGGAAAGATCGTGTACCATTCTGTGACACCTGATACTAATCGTATTTATTCATGTCGCATCTCATGGGTTTGAAGGTTGTCCATGATATTTTCTGCAGCGTTGGCCGACAGCTGAATGTGGCTTGCTTGTGGCCCTTTGTATATAGCAAATGTAACGCTAAATGGACTTGAGTGCACTTTATTAATCAATGAATCAACGATTGTGAGAACTTTAACAAAAAAGGGTTATTTAAATGAAAAGGCAGACACTGTGGAAAATTTGACTCATCTTTTGCAGTTATTGTTCGAACAGGCTATTTTTAAGGTACATGAACCATGATGTAACCTGTTTTCATTGAATCAATGTTGGCAGCATATCTGGCCTAGTTGTTATTTTGGTCTGCCACGGTAAAAGAAATTTGGTGATGCATTTGAGATGCATCTTGAAACAAGTTTTGATGACTGTAACATTTTCAGGAAAGAACCAGCAGTTGATCTGAATGTGAGGCTTATTGGTATGCTGGTGACTGTCTTATTTAACCACTGCACAAGCCCCTGTGCCTGTGCAGACAGTATTGGGAGATTGATTGGCACATTCTTCAGTCACTGCACATAGTGATCATGTGTTCATGAATAATGAATATAAATTTGGCATGTTGTCAAGCTTGGTAAAGACAAGAGAACTGGCTGTCTCTTTTTTTTTTGTTTCTGGGATTCGGGAGAAATGATCACAAGTGGCATATCTGGAGAGCAAACACTTGTGCGTGCCATTGTTAATCCTTTTTTTCCGTACAGAATCCAACAATAACTATCTAAGTCTGCTGAAACAAACAGAATCTAACAAAGGAAGCCTGATGAATCCAGAACCCAACAGCAGAGTGGAACGTGCTCAATTCCAACGGCAAAGTAGAGCCTGCTACCCAATGGCAGAGTGGAGCATGCTAAATTCAACAGAACCCAACAGCAAAGTTGGAATGTGCTCGGTCCAACTGAACCCAACCACAGTTTGTGCCGGCTGAAATTTGGCAGATTCAAACAACAGCCACGTTCAGCTTAATCCGCACACTGCTGAATATTGTTGGATAAGGGTTGTTGGGCTAGCATTCACTTTAACCACTCCCTGCCGGGCGACCCGTTTTCGAGTACATAGGTTCCGGGGAGCCCAGAACTGGGACAAAAGAGTTGGGCCTTTTAACAAACGACCGTGCTCATCACAAAAGACTGAGCTGCTGGGCATTACCGACATTTTTCACTCTCAAAAGTGGAGATAATCCAGCCTTGTTTTGAAACAGTATACCACGGTTTGGGGCATTTAGAGCAAGCGGATTACCACCGGGGACAAAAGCTCTCCACCACCGCAGTGATGAGCCACACAGCATCGCTGCTCGCTAATCTGGCCCCTATTGAAAAGAGGTTTGCCGGTTTGCCTTTGCCGGTTTCGGGAACAAAAGAATCTTACATAACACCGCACAATCTGGGCTCTTTTTCCAAGGCTGCAGGCATGGCTGAAATATTCAAAAGTCAATGAACATTAATGTCAGCTTTAGAGTAGTGCCCAAAGAGTCCTTCATGTAGGTATAAACGGCCATTAAATGACATGATGAATTTTTGAAGAATTTCGAAAACGGAATATCTTGAAAAGGACCCGGCATCTTGTCTTTCTCAAGAAAAATCCACCCGGCAGCAAGTGGTTAAGCTTCAGCACCCAAAAACTGTATTGACATGTTAGGCTCTGCTAAGAATTTTCCGCCAGGATTTGCTAGTTAGTCTGTTTCCAGTGCCTGATCTGTTCATGTCAAAAACTTGGACTCTCCAGAATTTCAGTCTCCACAGCATGGCATGTTCTTACAAAATAAGCTAAGTCATTTAATCTCTCAACCCATTTTTGAAATTTCTTTTGCTGCGATGCCTCATTAGATAGATATGAAAGACACATACAGAATCAAAATTGTACATTCAAGATCTACCCGTTTTAACTTTCATGACCTGTTTCATCAACAGAGGAGCAAAGCTGTAAGACAGCAAAGATGACTGCAGCTAGGCTTGACAGTGATGGCTTCCTCGCTAAACAGCCGATGAGATGTACCCAGCCGGTAGTGGCCATCACGATCAATTCACCAGCCCACCTTGCATAAGAGGAAATTGCAAGCAGAAACTGTTCAGGAATTTGATCTGCGAGTATTCAAAAGTACAGCACTAGACTTGCAATCCAGAAAAAAAGGAACAGAGAGAAATCCTTTGGTCGAGACTGGAAAGGATTGAGGCATCAGGCATCACTTCTATCTCACTGCAGATGGTGGAATTGGGTTATTTTTGACATTGTACTTGCTGGCTAACAAGTTGACCTTCTACTTGTTGGCAATGCTGTCTATGGCTACATCCGAATCTCTTGTCTAGAGCTAGGTCTAGGTCTCCACTCCATTAGAAACGCGTGGAGACGCGTAGACAATAGACCTAGCCATAGCTCTGGAAACCCGTTTCGGACATGGCCTGAGTGTGTGCATAGTATTCAGGGCTCTCACAGCATAGAGTACCGCAGTGTGACGTCACTGTGAACCAGAAAGTGCAGTGTAAACAAATGGAGTAAGCGCGCGAGTTGGTTCACGCGCTGGTTCTCACGCTAATGCCTTTTACGCACTAATTATGCGTGTGACGTATTCACTTCGATACTCTATACATGTAGATAAAGCCAAGTGTTACAGCTCTGGGACAGTAGAAGTACAAGTAGTTTTTAGAGGGTCAAACTTAAGAGGATTTAATGACAAAAAGTTTAATACCAAGAAATCGATGAAATCAATGCAAACATTCTCACCGGTCACTTCTACTTCAGCCCCAGTCATGTAACTGCTCCTTTTTGAAGCCAGGAATAAACAGACCTCGGCTACCTCCGAGGGTTCACCCTCCCTCTTTAAGGGGATGAACTGCCTGATCTGAAAAGTCAACCAAAAAAAATGTAGTCACCCCAAAACATCCACAGACATGGAAGGGTTTGATACAGCTCAGGCCGAGTGTTTGGAACTACCAATAGCAATGCATGGAGAGTCTGATAAACCCTGAATCAGTCAAAAAAAAAATTAACTTCAGCCTTGCCACAATAGAGTACCGAAGTGTGACGTCACTGTGAACCAGAAAGTGCAGTGCAAACGAATGGAGTACGCGGGCTGGTTCTCACGCTAATGCCTTTTACGCACTAATTGTGCGCGTGACGTATTCACTTCGGTACTCTATGAAATTTGGGGCATAATTTTTGTTCCTTTGGCGTCTGAGGTCTTAGTCCGATTTAAACATACATGGGGGAAAATAATGCTGTGATTACCAAACTCAGGTTTTGTATCGGCACAGCGTCCGTCATTGGTGTTTTGATGAACCCAGGTAAGATCACATTGCATCTGATGCCGTACCTGTAAGACAACGGTTCAGATTATCCTGAATTCAGGTCTACTGCGACAGAGCATCGATTCATCTCACAGAAGTTCCTGAAATGAAAACCTCCAACAGATCTCCATTTAAACAGGAGTACACTACGCTCTACAGGAAAGTGAAAAGTACAACCTAATTCACTGAGCAAGAGACAATTTCTCTCGTGCAGCCAACAAAAGCAAAGAGAGCAATGAGGCAATAAACACAGTCAAGTGGGTGTTTATCAAACATACATGTCCACCAGGACAGGTGCTCATGGGGTCTGTCAAACATTCAAACTACAATCCAGTGGCGTAGCTAGGATTTTACTGGTGGGCAAGCGCAAAGGGGGCACCAGCATCTTATGGGGGGGGCCCAGCTTTCAGTGGTGTGGCTTTTGGGGGCAAGTTTTAGTTTGCCTTGTTCAATATCCATTCATCCATTTTTTTTTCAGTGGGGGGGGGAGGGCACGAGACCCTCCCAGGCCCCTCGTGGCTACATCACTGCTACCATCTGAGCTCCCTGGGGTGTACTCGATGCTGCCATTTTGGTGCAAAGCAGTTACGTCAATCACGATTGCCATGTCAGCTCTCATAGCTTTATACAGATACCCAAATATTCCCAGTTGGCAAGACACAATGAGTGACAAAGTGCCGTGCCCAAGGGCACACATATCATCACCCCCGGCTGGACTCGAACCAGCGACCTGCAGCTTTTCCCCGAAGACCACAAATGGAATGCCCTTAACCATGGGGCTACAGCACTCCACAAAGGAAACGCGATGAAACTCCCAAATGTGCTTGAATGGGCCCCTGTCCATGGTTTGCCAGCTTGTGTCTAAGGAGTCCCCCTTCTCCCAGTGATGCCCAAGGGGATGCTCACCTGCCCAGTTCCCTGGCCGTTGTTTTAGTGAAGCCCACCACACCTGCCTTGGATGCTGAGTAGTTGCACTGGCCCACATTACCGTACTGAGAGTGAGGGGAAAATCATTGAGAAGAAAAGTGAAACATTTCTCACAATTAAATTTTCACAGAGACAACCAGTGAAACATCAGTCCTTGTGATTTGGAAATTGCAGGCATGTGAAAAAAAACTCCCGGACCTTTCCAGGCATGCAATTTCTCTAGGCATGTGATTTTGAAAAAGGAGTCAAAACCTTGGGTCAATCAAGGCATAGTAAAATAAACAAAACCAACAAGAAGTAGTGCAACAGTTTCAGATCACACCCGCTCACTTCAAGTGAACTTTTAAAATGTTTTATGACGGTCGTAAAATCATGCCCTTTCCACAAAAGCAGCCTAGATGGACCATGCAGAGCTCCTCTGAGCCACAAGATCACTCTAATTCTCCAATAAATCTCCCAATTTTCCTGGGGTTTCTTTTCACTGGATCTCTTTCCTGTGAGTAATTCCCGTTCATAACGCTAACACATTTTATCAGGACATTTACATGTCTGCACACAAATATCTGCTGCAATCCACACTGGCGTGATCTCTCCATGGCTTTCATGCATCATGATTGACTGGTCTGGTCCTAGTCTCAACTTCAAAGGATTTGTTGCTTCACTGCGCGTAGGGCGCGGGAGCCTGCATCGTGAAAGCTAACTGTTAGGTAGGCCTATGTTTGATTCTTTTTGTTTCATTTTTCTCGGAAATTGAAAAATATAATTATAAAAGTAAACTCATGCCGAGGAGTGTGGTACAGATAGTTTCAGACGTGCAATTATTTGCACTTCTCAGGAAGCTTTTAGGCATGCGATGGCGTGGGAGTGCGATCGCATGCCTTAAAACGAAAAGACTGAAACATTATGACAGTCTTAAAAGATATTCTAAAGGAATAACTACGTTCCGTGATAAAACTCTGCTAAGTTCTTCAGATAATATCAACAAAGAAGCATTTAGCTGCCTGCTCAAAGATGTTACCAATAAATAAGATGTACCTTTCCAACTATACTGGCAATGTTGACGATAGAACCATCTGTAGTTCTGTGCTCAATCATAGCTTTGCTGACAGCCTGCGTCACTAGGAAAGTTCCCTGTGAGAACAAAATTTCAAAGTTTTCAAATTGACCAGATTATCTCACTCCTGATGATGTCAAATCATAAAGGACACGTAAAAACGACTGTGGTGAACTGATACTGCAATCCTTAGCAAAAGCCGTGAATAAAATGCTTGGACCTGCATGTTTACTTACAACCCTGCTAAAATCATGCAACTTCTGTATGTGGACAAAAATTGGAGTACAGGGCAACTATATGCTCCAAGCGGAACAAAAGAAGCCCTGTGTTTTTGGTACTCACCGCATAGGCGCAGCATGAGGCATGCAAGTATATACATGTTTGACATGGAGCACGCTGAGAACGAGTAACTAATTCATTGCGGCATGTATGATCTTTACGTATACGCAGCATGCGCGCAAGAACCCACTTAAACCAACTATCTTTCTTTCACCGACTGATGGTACACTCACCTCAGGACAGATACCACAGAGGTTCATTCCAGAGATCATACAATGGGACACTTTGAGACGCATGGTGGCGGCAGACAAACCGGTCCTTTTCTGCAGTTGTGCGCGTGCTCAGAACTAACGCACATGCCTAGGGCTGCATGCGCATGCCCACATCAACCAAAAAGGACCATTGTGTCTGGCGCCACCAAGTGTCTCAAAGTCTCCCACTCAGTACACAGTTCCCCCTCTCTTTCCAGGTTATCACAGAATTTTCAATGTTATCACTTGGCTACTTGTTGTACCTTGAGATTAACATCAATGACTTTGTCAAAGTTTTTTTCCTCCATCTTCATCATCGTTTTATCCCGGGTGATTCCTGCCGAGTTGACCAATATGCTTGCCGGCTGCTGGTACAGTTCTGATACGTTCTTCACCAGGCTCTGAACAGCAACTTTGTCCGAGACATCCAAGGCAAAGGCATGATGTGACTGGGTGCCAGACAACCTGTTGTCATCAGCTGTGAGTTTCCCTACTGTAGTTTTGACACTGTCGAGATTAATATCAGCTGCCACTACACTTGCCCCGTTTTTGGCAAAGAGTTCACACACAGCCCGCCCAATGCCACTACCACCCCCTGAAAAGTTAAGTCATGTACATTGTAAGTAAAAATAACAATTAATAAACCTCTTGAAAACACAGATTTTGTGAGAGTTCCACACGTGGCCACCACATACATGTATGTACTCACCACCAAAAAACAAATCTCTGCTCACCTTGTATTTGTTAACCTTCTATCCACTTAGCTTGGGAAAAAATGAAATTAATCCTACACTTTTTTGGTACATACAGCCTAACAGCTGCACTGACTGACATGCCAAGACTGTCCTAGCATGCCTAGGCAAGTTATTTTAGGTCCTTTTTTACAACCTAACGGTATTTATAAAACTTAACAAATATATGGAACTAAAGTTTAAATATTTATTGCATTGGACAACTAGATTTAAAAATGAGCGACTGACAATTGGTACATATGTGACATACCATAACTGGTAAATGAACATTGGCCAGTTTTCACATTTGTTTTATTCACAAAAGTCCTTCATACGTAATCAGAAAAGTTCCGTACAACAGAACAAAATATACTCAAGCTGTAAACGAACTACTGTAAATGGTTTGCGTCACAGTAATTGCTGTAAGCATCATAATTACCAGTAACAAGAGCAACTCTTCCAAAAAGTTGCAAGGACGTCGCCATGTTGATTTTACTTTGACCTTCGACATAGTTATCTGCAGACCAATCAACGAATAAATCAGTGATGTCATGGCTTATTATTAGATATCTGGTATCTGTACTGCGGCCGTCCATTGCTATGGACATTGAGGCTGGAGAACAGACGAGTTCTGAGCGGTTTTGGTTGATTGCGCAATCACCAACTGCAAAAGTTACACATGCATTGCACCAGACGCGATTTCTACTGCGGTTTACGTGGACTTTATATTCATGTGTATTTTTATTTGTAGTCACTAGAAAGTTATTCATTCTAATATTACATTCAGTATGATTGGATCTTGTAGAGCTCGTTCAGTCACCAGTGGGTATCTGAAAAGCCCTGCTTTCTTTCCAAAAAAGACAAAAATGTTGCATCAGACATGCCACATTACCGCGAGGCCTATGTCCACGGACATGACTGACTTGGAATGTAGGCCTAGGCCTACTCGTACTTCTCAGTTTATGGTGAGATTCTATGAGTTTTTATCACTACCGAAGTCAGGATTTTTTTTATCAATGGGGTAAATGGCTTTTCATGTTACCTCACAGTTCAGGGGGTAGCTTTTATCATGTTTATTGTCTGGATTTCTTTATTCTTATCATAATAGTTAATACTCACTGGCCTAGTGTGGAGATAATTTACCATATTTTAACTCTCTGTGATTTTCCTGTTTGAGACTTTTGAGTATGAAATGCAAGGCCCCAACGTACAGCTTGTGCTTGGTAGTAATGGAATCTCCTCACTCTCTGAGCTGGCTGCAGAGCGTGGAGAGGAGCTGAGAGCCATAGTGCAAGAATTACTCTTGAATTTATGACTTCAATCCTTGTCAGTATTTGTGCTCACTCTTCAGTTTGAGACACACTGTTTTGGTAGAGCTCTGGGATCCGAGAAGAGTTTCCTATACATGTACAGACAATTTGATACCCCTGTGTGCGTGCACCGACCTGAGACTTGTCTAAAAAAATAAGTTTTTTATAATTAAGTAAATGCTGAGAAATTTTCTTAGCGAAATTCCACTTTTTAGGACATTTTATCACTTTCTTACTGCTGTTATGTTATTTGAACACGTTTAAGGGAAAATTAGTGTTGCCTGTTCATGGAACTCTTTCTGAACTCTGGAAACATACTTATGTCACAGATTCCCTCATGTCCCAAACCATGATTTCTGTCCATGTTCTGTCACTGTCACCTTAGCAAGTCCAGACTCGCCTTCAACTCCCACGAAGAAAGTATTCTGTTGGTTGTGCACAACAAATTACCAGAACTGGTTTTCTGATTGAACTAGTCAAAAATCTTCCAAACGGACATGACAGATGAGTTATGCTCATATAGTAATTGACGTGTTGTGCTGTGCTTGATCAACAGGTGCGGCTGTGGAAACTATTTACATATGACAGCATATGATATGAGTCACTTTGCTTGGTGTGTTGAATACTTGCAGGTTGTTGGCCTTGGCAATCATTCAATGCCGGAAACCAGACACAGCGTTGGCATGGCAACCATAGACCGACTGTGCAGACGGCTGAAAGGTACATGGAATAAAGACAGAGACTGTCAGGGTGACATTGCCGTAGCAACACTGGCAGACCAGCACCAGATCATTCTTCTCAAGCCACGCCTACTCATGAATATTAATGGGAGAAGTGTTATCAAAACAGGTATTTGAAATGTGCAGGAATCAGTGGTTCCAAACTTTATTTGATGGGTGTTGCTTAGAAAGATTTCAAATTTAGAAAATTCACGCAGGATCTCTGAATGTACATGTATAAATGGCCCGTGAAAGTCACCATCACGAAAAGCCAGTACGGATAATTCAACAATCATTGGGGACTTTCAGAGATTAAAGTCTTCCCATGCCTTGATCTGTATACATTTGTGTCTGAGACACATAAGTTTAAGATCATGTAATGAAAACTGGAAGCAACTTACAGTTTTTGTCTGTACTCTGAGACAAGTTCATTCTCAATTGATAATATTCAAAGCAAAACCCTACAGTCAATTGCATTTTCATTTTTCATACCATATCATTAAGCATTTAAATGGCAGAATAATAAATAAAACAATTCCATTCGTACATTGTGCTCTGCAGCAAGGAAGTACCAAGTTGCCTCCCGTAATGTGTATCTTCTACATGATGACTTAGATCGCACATTTGGAAAGTTCAATATCAAGGAAGGAGGGAGTGCAGGGTAAGCCGCCTTCTTGTTTTTTCAATCTAAAACTACTTATTAGGATTTGGTTGGTTGTCTTCCTCTTTGCCTACATTGCTTTTGGATAATTAATTCTGGGATTCAAAGATTTTGTTAATCTTAAAATTCTTGAAGAGATTTTGTGACTTTTTGTACCTTTAACCCTAACCTCCAAGGGTGTATGTAAAATCCTATTGAAATTGGAGGATTTGGGAGTGTTAGGGTTAATGTTATGAGTAAAAATGATGGGTGTAAACTGGAATGTGTTTGGGTTTTTTTTCTTCACAGAGGGCATAATGGCGTAAAATCTGCCATTTGTGCATTGGGAACAGATGTAAGTACAATTTCTCAACAGACTTTTCTCTAGTGAGCACCTGTAGCACAGGTCACTGTAGTCTTGGCTCAAGACGTTACTACTCGATACTGGTTTAATGCAAATTCTACACTTTTGCACAGAAATATGTGAACAAGAGGGTAACATTTTAAGGACAGTAACCTTGTCATGAAATCTGAAGAATCGATACTTGCTGGTGAACCCCATTCATTACAAAATCCAACTCACTGTGGAGTCTAATCAACTGAATGCTCCCGAAGACATGCAGGCCAAAACAACGGTATGTTTGCTTGGGGAGAAGAAGGGGAAAGACTTATTTCTGTTTTTTTTTAAATGCACAAAGGCCTTGGAACCAAGACTAGGCTGACTACTACTGCATTTCTGCAAAGATAATTTTTTTTGTCATTTCTTCGTTTCTAGGTAATGCCAAGACTAAAGATTGGTATCGGCCGGCCAACCAACAGGAATGCGGTGACTGACTACGTTCTCAGTGGGTTTAGTATCCCAGAGAAGGAGTGCCTCTCTCAAATATTGGACGAGTGTGTCCAGACATTAATAGATCACATGGTCAAAAAGGCTGAAAAAACCTGATACCACAGTGCACGGTACTGCCATTTAACAGTGAACAAGCGGAGTTGAAAACCAGTGGATGAATACCAGTCATGTCTGGCACCCAGTGCAAGTACTGCAGCTATTGGGGGTTTACCTGTTCGTAGCCTGTCGTTTTGGCATGACTAGATGTCCAGACATTAATAGATCACATGGTCAAAAAGGCTGAAAAAACCTGATACCACAGTGCACAGTACTGCCATTTAACAGTGAACAAGCGGAGTTGAAAACCAGTTGAAAACCAGTGGATGAAAACCAGTCATGTCTGGCACCCAGTGCAAGTACTGCAGCTAATGGGGGTTTACCTGTTCGTAGCCTGTCGTTTTGGCATGACTAGATGGTTAAAACCTGATGAAAGAGCCTTTAGGTTCACTCTCTTCTGGAAGCACCTGTAACAGAGGTGCATGTTGGGAGGAGTTTTCTTATCAACCACAGTTAGTTGTTATGGAATGGTGCATTTTCTTGAGGTTGGAGAGGAGCCAGATTATCCAATGCCTTGGACAAAAATCAGGGGCCAACAAAGAAAAATTCAACAGCCACTTGAAACATTTTAAGGCTTCCAAAAAATCGAAACTGTGCCACATTCACCACACATAAATTAGTATATTATGTGTTCATTTCACAATTTTAAATATGGGAAGTGGTTTGTAGTTACACCACACTGCACGAAAATACATGGTATTCTGAATTACCCTGGGAATCAATATCAAAATAAAGATAAAATGCCGGATTTCTTGTTTTATTATCAGATGCCTGTTGGAAAAACTCTACTTTAACTTACGGCACTTTGGCAATAAACCCACGCAAAGTTAGCAACACTGTGCTCAACACATGAACACAGGGTAACTGTGAGTCGCCCATTAGCACTGTTTTATAGTTGCTTATGACTGCACTAAAATAAAGTTAATTTACGTGACAACTCAGACGTTTTGATTACTGGAAGAGTTATTCATTGCTTAACAACCTGCTGAAGGTATGTTTGTTCCACATTACCTTGTCACCTATTGCTACCGAGTGTCGCAGCAGTCATTGATTATTTACCATCTGAAACTGCATGGACACACCTGAAACCTTTCAAATTACAATGACCGATAAGTATGATATGGAAGCGTATAAATGACCAAATATTTTTATAAATGACTAAAAAAAAATTTCCAAGTGCTACCTCGCCGCTGGGAGATGTTAACTCACTTCTTTGAGATACAAGGGTAAGCCTCCCAAGGGTATTCCTCCCAAGGTTTCTACCCCAGCTGAAGGATTTCTCATGGTAAGGCTTGCTACGGGAGCTATCTTGCAAGAAAGGGCAGAAGAACTGGTGAAGTGTAGGCAAGAATGGCTGGACCAAATAATCTGATTCTACCAGCAGCTGGTTCTGATGGTGGAGGAGGTGCCTGTTTGCCTCTTTCCTCGTGGACCTTGCTGGTCTCCGTACTGGACCTTGCGTCCGCACCACTCTGCTTGTCAGGGGCTGCAACTGTCACCGCATCTGGTGTTGTTGCCTCTCGTCTACATGTACATGTATTCAGAACAGGGGTGGCCCTTCGTTAGTAAATCTGGTCGACCTGCATCGGCTGAAGGGCCACAATAGGGTAGCAGAGTTTGACAGACTCGGCAACAGAGCCCCTTGTTGGCCTGAAATTGGCGACAGCCCTCTTTCTGCAAGTTATTTTCTGCAGGTGGTTTCTGAGCAGTATGCCTCCACCAGTCCATGTTCATGTTGCCCAGGTATTGCTTTAGCCAGTTGGAGTAAACCACCTTGGCTTTTTTACAAGGAGACTTTTGAGCCTGACTCTTGAGTTATAAATTTTCCTCACCACCATGAGGGGACCATCCAACCAGCACTGTAACTTGGGCATACGACCTGCCTTCCTAGAGGGGTTGTACAAGTTATCCACATTGGCTGCCCAGGCCCCTATCCGACTCCTTCCACTTGGCGATGCTCCTTTGGTACATTTGACTCTCCTGTAGATGGAGATTTGAGACTCCTCTGTAGATGGCGACAGGGCTCCAACGGTTGTTAGGCCGTGGAGTTATACTAGGGACAAGCTCCTAGTTACCTATAAAGTGCTCCGTAGCTTATGGCCTCTGAAAGCCAAGTCCAACTCCCAACCTACTCAAGCGGCTTAGCCTTCAAGTCTGGCGAAAATTTCTACTGGCGGGAGAAGGGTGAGGGTGCATCTCTGGTACTTTGAAACTGGTTGGTTCAGGGATATGGGACCGTTGTCCCATAAGGGTAACCCATCCAGGAAATGGAAGACTCCAATTTCGAATCCATGCTGCCTTGTGACATGCTTTTCCATAGGAAATGAAGGCCACTGTGATGTGAAAGCTGTGACTTCGATACTTCGCTGTCATCCCAGCTTGCCTGGCCTGTGGCAGATGTCTCTTGGGTGGGAAGGGTGAGGTTACTATACTGTACAAACTACACTCCACATTAAGCATTACTTCGCAAGTCTGAAGGAAATCCTCGTACGTCCAAAAGCTATGCAGTGATGGCAAAGGGAAAAACTGACAGATGGACGATGTCACTGGAAGCCCCAGTCCCAAACTTGCATGTACATGTACATTTAGTTGGTTTAGGGCCAGATATTGCTTTATTTAGACCTAGAGAAGACTGCATCATTTAACAGCACCCTGGATGACCATCCAGCCTTATTTACAGACAGTACTTTCTGATTCCCAACGATTGCCCACACAAAGCTTGCCTACCTATAACCTTGTTTGAAAACAGCGATCAGCAGGTATATTTTCAGGATAGTTCGCAGTTCACGTTCCCACTGGGGCTGAGTGTGGCCTGAACAGCTGTTGGCTCTCTGCCTGGAACTTGGTGTCTTAGCATTGCCTCTTTTGGTGTTCCTTGCCAGTCAAAGGTTGGCCTCTGCTTCTAATGAAGGCAGTTTCACAGAATTTGCCCAAACTGTTAACACTTTTAGACTAATCCAAGGAGACGCCATAACTGCAGTGGCACCGCGCTTACGAGCACATTCTCCAACTTGGCACATGCGTGCATTTGGCAAATCACGACACCCTATTGGTGGAAGAGGCATGTAACGCGAGCATATGACCTGTCCTCGAGCATTGTGCCGCCACTGTTATGACCTCTTATTCTAGTCGTCGAAGTACACTATAGTTCTTTACTTGGAGCACGCTCTTTGTGGACGTGTACCTTGCCTTGGAAGCTGGTTTGTGTCCCTCAGCTGGGATTTGAGGAAGCTGGGCTACTGACGTAACGTCCCTTGCCTGAAGAAATGATCCATCTCGGTTCAGAGGATGTGACATTGCAATTGCTAGTATCCCTGGCGTTGCAGGAAGCTTCCACCGCTACATCTTTCTGGGCCTACTTGGGTTGCTTTGGGTAGCTGCTTCAGAGCAATAGTCGAATTTATTGTTGCTCGAGGCTTTCTAGACAAGGAATATTCCTTTCGCACCTTTGGTGCTATGTCTGCCAGTGCTTCCGGAGCAGTACCCCCATAACCCCTTTAGTCAGATGCAATGAGCATTGCCCTCTCAGCCCCCTTGACTGCCATGACATTCTTAAAGTAAGGTCAGACCACGAAGAGGTTCCATCAAACGTGTCAGGGGTCATCATCGGCTTCCAACCACTGGGCGAAGGTTAAAAGAGATACTGGTGCCTCTTCTTCTTCTTCAGTGGCGGTGTCCCACCATTGCATTGGCCATAACTTGTCCCATGGGGGTGGCTCGTACTGTTCTATATGGAAACACGGGGTGGTGACGGCCCCCAGTGTCCCTCCCCTGGAGTGGCACATGGCAGGGCAGTTCCTTGGGCTCCACTCATATTTCTCATGTAGGGCATTGCCGCTGCATTGGCCCTACCCCAGCAACCTGCATGCAGAACCCACTGTTAGCCCTGGTCCATAGACTTACGTACGAAGCACCTCAGGTTGACTCGTGCAGTGTGGGCCTGCCCCGATTGGTGACTGGGTTTCAAGACTATGGGAGATTGAGGACAAAGGCTCTGGGTGGTCTGGGTGTCCTTAGATGGATTCCCGCCCCAGTGTATGGATAATTGGGGGCACCCCATGTGGGACGCTGCCATTGTGTTTATGTGTGCACTAAGGGGTAAGTCCAAATTGGCCCTGACAATTTTTGTGTTGATGTAGTCATCTGCGGGGCGTCTCTGGACAAAGCCCGCCTGGCCTGCGCGCTGCATCCACAAGCATAACTCTGCAACATTTGGAGTGGCACGGAGCATCTGTGGTGCCGTCCTCTACTTCAGGAGAAGGTTCCCTGTGGGACCCGGCACTCTGTGTACCAGCTCAAAAATCATGGGGTGTCCCATGATGAAGCCACATCTCGCTGCATCGACAGGCACAACTGGGCGCAGCCTGTATCCCCGCCTTGTCGAGGGTCTAACGCAAAACTTACTCTTCTCTTTCCCTCTTTTAGATGTGGGCTTCCTCACATAAAATGGTGTTCAATAGCTGCACGCGCTACTAGCTATAATGAACAGCCATTGTTTCCAAAACTACATGTTAAAGCTGGCGTTATTCTCTTTCCATAGTACCCATTTAATAAGTTCTGTCTGACCGTAGTTCGGTGCTGGCGCCCTCTGTCGGCCCACCAGCACCGACACCCCAATATTACGCACTGAATGGGGGGGGGGACATTTCTTCATACCATCTCAACAGCATTTTGGGTGAATTATAAAAGTATTCACTTAAAACCATTTCCTAGGGATTATGGAAATATATAGGACTGTTTCAGGGAAATTCTGCCTTTGGGATGCCCTATTTTGGAAATCACAATCTTCAACATATAGCATTGGATATATATTTTTTTTTTGGTGGAGACCAAGGCATCTATCAAACTACATGTGTTTTCTTTTTTTGAAAACAGGGCTTCTGTAAACCATTTTAAAAATAAAAGAGTTAAACCTGTAATTTGAATGTGGTAAGAAAAAAGAATCTTCTAACAAAGACATTCTTAATAAGCAAGGTTAACCGTTTACAATTTCAGATAAAGCCATTTTTTTCACAAGAACCTAGAATATCTCATTCTTAATTTTAAGTTACCCAATAAGTTTTGTAAATGTGTGGGAGATTCAAAAAGAAAAACCTTTAAAATTTAGCAAAATAAATACCCCCAAGGTCCCTCAATGCCAGAACGGAAAAACTTTAGAAACTAAAAACAAAATTCACACATTTTTCGTTACCTTTATTAGCAAATGTTTGAGCGCAAAGCATTTAAACACCAGGAATAACCTAAAGTTATTTCGAGTCAAAGAAAGAAATGAATCTAAAATACCATATCCACTGGAAACATCAAAATAATCTGAAAAGCTGTTGTAAAGTTATTAATAAAGCACATTGCCCAAGCAATAAACTTTTTAAATAAAACAAGAAGATGGATATTTGTCGCTCACAAAAACATTTAGCTTTAAACCCTTCTTTCGCAGTTGGCCTATTTTATGCCAAAATAACATTGAATTTCACTTTATGATGGCTTTTTACTGCATTCATAACACACAGATGTACAGTACCCTATGAGTGTATGTATTTCTGAAATACGACCCAAAGATATTTTACACACTGCCGCTGTGTACTATAAATGTAAAAGACATGGTTATTTGGATACTGTTATTCAATCATGTTGTTGAACGCTTTCAGAGTAAACAGTACAAAAATTATGTGCTGGCAGTGTAAATGTACGCCCTCTCAAGTTTCTTACACTCTGCAGTATGGCATTGTAATTGCCTCATACTAAGCAAATGATGGATCATAAATACTGTGTGAAGGGCGAACTTGGAGCTCTCATAAAACATAAATTCAAACTACAACCTAGTGATAGATAATACTGAAGGAAATGAACTGCAGTTAAAACATGTGTTTGCAAGGAATGTGCATCTGCAGTTCAAGTAAACTGTTTTAAGGTATACTTAGTTAAACATATCAAAATGTGAAAGCAACTGCGAAGCATTTTTTTTATTAAAAAGAAAGGAATTTGAACAAGAGCATCCTTTTGTCTGCAAACCAAACTGTGAACTTTAACATTAGAGCCCTTTTGTATTATCCGGTATTTTTTTAATGCGGTATCATCAACCATTGCGTGGAAAAAGTTCAGTTTTTAATGACAGAATAAATGTTTTGGGCTGGTATTAACACGTGCATTTGAGACAGGCTCAGGAGAATGGACGCGACTTATTATCTCCTGTGCTAGTCTTAAACGTAAATATATATTTATTCCCATTCATAAATACCTTTTTATTCAGTGAGTTAAAGATTCTGTTCCAGAATTTTACTTTCATTTTCCAGATTACACCCGTCCATTTTGTGGTATATTCCTTGTACAAGTTGTCCCAATGAATGTCCTTACATGGACTTGGCGCATGCATGGCGAGCCGCGCGCACGCAGAATCTTGACCAATCGGAATCGATTATGTCTCGTATCCAGGTGCCAGCGCGTGATTTACGCAGCGGGCACTATCACTTCTCATCAGCGGGCATTATTAAATGTTAAGACATGGTCAAGTTGCACGTTGTTGAATAGGCCTAGGGAGATTGTCTGGGGTATTTATGAATTGGAAATAAGGAACTATGTTTGAGTACATGTATTTTTGTTAAGTAGGTATTCAGACTGTGCTGAAGCTCTTTCTCGAGACAATCTACTACTGTATTCTCGGATGTTATTCGGTTTTCCTTCAATCTGTTTCATTTTTCTCCTTGACCCTGTCATGTCTCACGCCATTTAATCTCGACTGGACTTTGCTATTTTAATCAGACTGTCGCTTCCATCTCGTCCTTGCTGACGACAGCATACTCGGCGATCCTTGGGTTGGCATCGACTTCGGCCGGGCACACCACTCCCCCCATGGTGGTGCCGTGGCGGCGGTGAACTTGGACCGCCTCCTCTCGATGTTGGATCAGGGCTGGCCCCCAGGATTCCAGGGGAGCAGTGATAATACGTAAGCGCTGCTCAAAGAAAGACAGAAAGAAAAGAATTAATCTTGGGTATGTTGCAAGGTTGTTGGTGGTAGAGATATTAAGCGTCAAATTAGCCCAGACATATTGCGCCTGCTAAGTCACGTGACCTACAGTGGGTACCAAACATCAGCAAACATGGCGTCCTTCTATAACAAAAGTGTGCTTGTTAATTATGGACCAAAAAATAAAGTTGATGGACGGTACAGTGCTGAAACTACTGACGCGTTGAGAACTGTCCTGACAATTGACTTTACTTTTGGCAAACAACACTTACAACACACTTTACCGTGGGAGTATGCCATGTTTGCTGATGTTTGATACCCAACTAGAGGTCACGTGACTAAGCGGGGGCAATCGATTTATTGCACCTCATTGTACAGATTTGCATCAACATGAAACGCAAGGACAAAGTGCCTACCAGCACAATGAAATTGGTACTATACCGTAGTACCTTGGGTGAAGTAAAGGGCCAACAGACCACAGGTGTGTCTGTCGGACGCGGAACACTTAGTCTGGTAATGACATTCTTTACCTCTAGGAAGCTGCCCTTTCTCCTGATGAGCTCAAAGACCACTTGTCCGGGGATACCAATGAGCGTAGTGATCAGGATCAGCCAGCCGAGCGCTCTGGCCCAGGGCGGGTACAGTTTGTCGTTGTACTCGGGCTCGGTCCAGGTCACCCAGCTGACCACCAAAATGACCTGGTCACAAAAGGAAGGAACAATGTCACACGGTCTGTGCAATGCATTTGATGCATGTTTGTGTTTCAATTAACACTTTTTCCAAATCTTATTTTGCTATCATAGAAAAAATGTCATGCCTTTAGAGGTTTATATGTTCAGGCAAATTTCATATTCACGATTGAACTTGTGATGTCATTCTAGGGGAAATCCTAAATGTCACATCGATTTGTTCACAAAAACTGCTATATTTTTATATTTTCTTGTTTTAAATTTCCTAATTGTCTTTTGGTGCTTCATTTTTTTAATACATGGCAATAAATGGCATGTAAAGCCGAACAATGAACTCTCTCTCAGAAATGCTTTTAATAAGCATTTTTGAACAGACAGACAAATGAACTAAGCAGTATTCTATTCACATTTCTATAGCCGGGCAAGTCATGCCTTATAAAAGAGGGATCCCAATACGAGCATCGATCTGCGCACTTCCACGTTTCAAAACGAGGCTATATAAGTCAGCTTCACACGCACTTCGACAACGGCGCGGCGAGATATGCACGATGCGTATGCACTGTCTGCCACAAAGTCACGCTGTGCCTGCTGCTCACGATTCTTAGTCATATTACGATCAGACGATTGAAAGTAAGGAGTCAAGACACAAAATACATAAAGGTATGTTAAAAACAGACTTTTCAGGCTGCAAATTTTGGTGGAAGAGTCTTTCAGGATGACTCGACATGGAGCTTGAGAGTTGATGTGATGCTAGACTCATTGTTACTTGTATAACGTTACTCCCCGGCTCAAGGAAACATTGAAAACCTCGACTTTGACTTTCCTCGTACTACTTGCCAATCCTTTTTGCTGAAAAGGCTCAAATTCATCAGGTTAAATACTGGTACCTATTCTTTCATGATACATGCGACTGAACCTTTGTGAACAATTTCGTCGTCGTGAAATTCTGGCCGATTCTGGCTGCATTAATTCATCAACATAAGATTTGTAACATCAAAAGATTGAAAAAATAACGTCAATTTACCACGCGACAAAGTTCAGTACAGAGAGCCTCGGTTCCGATGCGGATATGCGCAGACAGCGCTGATGTGCAATCCTTCTATCCCCCAATGCCCCTTTTCCCGGCACAAATTTATGCCACAACTTAAAAGCAAAATGATTTCAAGATTCACTGCATTTGCATCCGCTTGAATTTAACCTTTTTTCTGGAAAACGTTCGATGGAGGTTCCCCCCCCACCCATGACCTAAGTTGTGTTGGAGAGGCGAACTTACCCCCATGGACACTGGGGTCAGGACCACCCAGTTCAGCGGCCACCACTTGAAGTACAACGTGTCCACGTACCGGTCCCCAATCATGGTGCGGATGTCGTTGATGAAGCGTCGCACGCCGTAGCCCCAGCTCAGGCCACCGGTGAGGAGGAATGCGAAGAGCACCATCGCCGCGTTTGTTCCGTAAGTGTCAAGGAGGGATATCCAGTAAGGTCCAGCCTGTCAGGAGGGAAAAGGGACCTCAGGGACAAATGACGGTAAGGCAGCTCATCAGGTGCAATGAAGTTTCAATACTCACACAAAATTCACAAGTTTTGAAGTAGAAATGGATTGTTGCTAATGCATACCCCTTATGCCCTTCGATCGTGTCCAGACTTTGGATATGGCTACAGTTGGACAAAATTTGTGATTTTCTTTCTGAAATTGTCACCCTGATTTATCTCAAAGGGTTATAAAGAATAAGTATGTACTAAAAATGATAAGCTTTTTCTAGCATGGTATAAGGTAGGAAACGGACCAAACCTGTGCTCTTCTGTTAACACAAAATAGCTGAAAAATTGACGTGCATAAATTCTGATCTCTGTGTTTTATTTGGACTTTTTCTCATAAAACCATTAAATTTTATTCCTTCTGGCCCGCATTGGCAAAGTGCGCTAAACATAATATTGGATTCCTGACTTATGTGATTTATCTATACAAAGCCCTAAGTTTGTGACGAGATGGGTCCCTAGTTCATCAAGCTCTCTCGACTACTTCGTCAGTGTTACCACGAATAGTTTTTGTGCACTACGAAGTAACGTACTGTTCATAGTGTACACGATACGACAATTTGTGGCGCATCAAGTCATCTACCGACAAATTCATGCACAGCGTACCAAACTTCAAGGGTGTAGTTTTACAGAACTGAAAGATTACCCAGCACTTTGGAAAGCCAAATTTTTCGCCTTATGGCAACAGTGGTCCCTTCAGTGGTCCGATAATCTACAACATCCAAAAACTGCTCAATGGTCAAGCAACTGATTTTGTGGACCCTTGCATATTTACATACTTCAGTTATGCAGATCAAACTGCACAACACCAGCACCACACAGATTCCCAGGGTGACATAGCTCTTGCGCCGAGTTGGAAAGAGCCTGGGGTATTCGTCCACTAAGCCCGTTGCCAACCTTTCGAGATCTACAAACTGGGACAGAAAATAAAATAACTTTGGTGCTCCTAATTGTAAAATATTTTTCCCTCTTCTTGTCGCTCATGCCGAGAAGCCCGTCAGCTATGCAATGGGTAGTATCTCAAAATAGAAAACCCAGTTGTTCTATAAATGTCTCTTAAATCCTTAAGTAAAGGGGGCAAATGAAAACTTCCCTATTACCTTAATCCTTCCAGATCCTTCAAAATTGTACAGGGTATAGGACAGTACAACCTATCCACTTTGAAGCCTGAGGCCCAACTGTCCTGTAAATTGAAACTCAGGGAATCTTGCCACAATAAGTCGATACATAATTACCTTGAGGATCCAAAAAGTTAACTTGAGAGTTATGGTTAAAACTTCACTCTTCAAAGCAATATACTGCCCACTCCATACCTCATATCCCACTGTAAAAAGTATAACAACTTGAAATGATGAATTTGAAACTTTGACCGCTAATATTTCTCTTTGTAATCTGAAAAATCATTAATTCATGCAATTGTTACTGTTAAATGTTTGCTGAATGTCTCAATGACACAAAACCCGAATAGTAAATATCACATAGTTTATGCTCGCCAAAATAAACAGCGGAGGTAGGACTTTGATGTTTCCTTAGTCCCCTCTTAGCTAAGTGATAATAATTATTAGTTCAGTTTTCCAAGGAAAGATCAGTTATTGTATGTCTGCAACCTCTTTGAACAGATATCTCAATCGTGCTGATAACTGTATGTATTTTGAGACTTATTGAGAAAATGAAACAACCACTGGTTTTATATAAACCTGAAGATGTGCCGAATCAAATGCCTTCTGGGACAAATCAGCTTCAGCAAGAGTTAAACTTGCCCAAGAAAGTATTACTTTTCCAAACTAGGCCTTTCCACCGTCATTGTCGCCGAATTCCTTTCACAGCATACTTGATCTATTTCGCAAATTACCTTTTCAAAATTTATTTTATGACCATGAATTTTTGTCACTTTGTCGCAAATTTCTTTCACAACATGCGTAAAATAATTTCAATTATGATTTGGAAAAAAATTTTAAACCACTTTTAAAGATGCCTATATTTACGAGTTCATTCTCTAGTGAAAAATAACCTCACTTTACGTCAAAAGTCGGAGAGATTTGGTGGAAATAGATGACTTCATGTCCATGCTATCTGGGAAAGTAATGTGAGCAAACCACAACTATTAAAAACTGCGTATGTGTCTGCATTTCATGAAAATAGGTAGATTGTTTGAAGTGGTGTGAAGGAATACACAGTCTTGTGAAAAAGTTCAAAAAACACGAAAATGCAAAGCCATCCAAGAAGAGTTTGCATTGCCATATAAGCTTGCAAAATTACGGTACCATGCTATCCAGACCCAGAGTGATGAGCATGAAGAAGAACAGAATCGACCAGAAAGGAGCAGCCGGCATTCTGGCTACTGCCTCTGGGTAGGCGACAAACGCCAGGCCAAACCCTGAAAGACCCAATACAAGACAACTAGTCAGACATTGGTAAAGTGGCACTGAAGGGAAAATGGAAACGTATACTCAAGGAATAAAAGACTTGAAACTGTTTGAAAAAAAAGGAAGTGGAACTGATTTCTTAAGCAAGATTTTGACATATTTTCTTTGCACAAAAAGACAAAAGCAGGCATTTTCTGGAAAGCCTCTCGGTTATACTTTTAAAATGTGGGTACCTGGCCTGGCAACCTCGGAGACGTCTTTACCCTGGACATGCGCCATGTATCCCAGGATGGAGAAGATGACAAATCCTGCCAAGATACTGGTAACCGAGTTCATAATGGTGACAATCAACGTATCCCTGCAGGAGCAGCAACAAAAGGCAGGCCAATCAGAGTTAGGCCGTCCAACCTTAAGCTGAAAGATCCTGTCACATTGCTTCAACTATAAAAGAAACTGGACGTCCATCTCGGTGACAGTGTCAATTTCTTAAAAGACTAAAGTAGTCTGCTTTTTGTTGCCAATCACTTACAACAAAAGGGCTGGATGATGGAAATCGGAATATTGCTCGAAGCCCAAACTTTGGGGTAGGTTAAAAAATTCCAATTTCTGTCGAGTTTTCACATCGTGCTAATAAAGCTTCTGTATGGACACCCCTCATGATTCAATGTACTATGAATAATTTTAAATAATTATTCGTGCTAATAAAGCTTCTGTATGGACACCCCTTATGATTCAATGTACTATGAATAATTGAAAAATCAAACTCGGCACGCTTGCAAACCTTCCCAAATTTCTGATTAATTTCAGTAATATGTGCAAAAAAAACAAAACCAATCTTGACGTAAATGATTGAGGGATGAGACAATGACCTTAAAGTGTTGTTATGGAACTTGTTGTAAGACGCCAGTGTATGCAAACCACCGGTAGCAACGCTCAGGGAATAGAAGATCTGCACCACTGCATCCAACCAGACCTGATTGAAAAAAAAATGGGATTTTACCCCCAAAAAACACGTTTGACTGAAATTTCCCACCTGTTAAACAATCCCCTTCCTAGGAAGGAGGTGCCGGTAGGTCTACAGTCATTACTTTTCCTCATTCATCGATTGATTCCTTTCCTTCTTTTTTTCTTGAAGGAATCCCTTATAAAGTGATGTTTAAACGAAAAGATTCATTCAATGCAGATACAAATTCTCAATACAAATAACAGGCTTATACCTCAGGCTTAACGAGGTATTCCCATCGGGGCTTGATGAAGAAGTAAACACCTTGTCCCGACCCTGGCAACGTCAGGCCACGAATCAACAGGATAATCAGTACCACGTAAGGAAAGATAGCAGTGAAGTACACCACCTGGATATATAGACACATATACTCGAAAGACAGAATGAAAAGCAATCTGTCATCATACATAATGTTCCACATGTTCTCCGTGTGACAAGCACTCACAATCCACCTGCCGGCCCTAGATTTTTAAGAAGCAACCCCCCCCCCTATTTTTTTTAAAAAATAATACAATTTTACAAGGAATGCCAATTTGGCTCAGGTTGTGCTTCTATAACGTCAATGTTTACCTTGCCTATGGACTTGACGCCCTTCATGAGGCACAAGAACAGGAGCACATAGGTAAATATCAGACAGAGTAGAAGCTGCCATACGATGGTTCCAGTCTCGTTTATGCTGGGCGATTCTTGTGTGACAGCCCTCCTGGAATATAATCATTCAGTAAAGATGGCAGAGAAGAAAACCAAAAGGAAATACACAAATTAAATGATTTATCATGGACGGCTGAAGGCTCTGTTAGATTTTACTTGTTAATTTTCAGTTTTCTAAAGACGTGTTCTGTTAGACAAGTCGCAAGTAAAGTCTTGTTGATATCGTGACACTAATATATGCACTTTTCCAACATCCTTTACTGATGTGACCCATGGTGTTGTACAGAACAAATCTGGCCTTTCTACCATGTCGTTTTTCTATCCTTACATGCTCATTGAGTTAACGATAAAACGTTAGCACAAGTAAAACAGACAGATTTGCCTGAGCAAGAAAAAGACGCCTTTTTTTGCATTTATATCATTGATTATGCCAACATGTGAAATCTGTTTAAGTCCCACATAATTTCACCCAAGTGAAATCAATTTACAAGTCAGTTTTCCATGTCAAGTCTCAAGTAAAACCAAAATGTACGACTCCAATCTTACTCGAGTCGAGTCAGCAGTTTGTTGACAGCACTGCAAAATTTAATTTGGAAATTTTAGTGTGAAAATCATCAATTGAGAGAGGCAATTGGCTTTTTAGGGACAGTGAATCCTGCAGTGGTATTAGAAAAAAGAAACGACATTCGATCAGAGTAACTCATCGTATGGTGTTCTAAAGCGGACAGGCAAACGTCGTGTTTGTGAATTTGAACGTCGTGTTTGTGAGTTTGAACGTTCGCTTATCATAAAAAAGACATGGATTTTTGGCTGGTAACCTGTTTTTCCTGAGCAAGACAATACTGTGCTTGCTACATTCTTGTGCTTAGCAGCTTCATGAAATTGGCCCTGACCACTCGCAAGCACGACGTTCGAACAGACACGCGACCTTTGTAATTCACACTCACGACGTTTACAATCCCCACTTTGACGTTTCAACTCACACACACGACGCTCAGAATCACAAACACGACGTTCAGAATCACAAATACAACGTTCCAACTCACACACACGACGTTCAAAATCACAAATACAACGTTCCAACTCACACACACGACGTTCAGAATCCCAAATACAACGTTCCAACTCACACACACGACGTTCAGAATCACAAATACAACGTTCCAACTCACACACACGACGTTCAGAATCACAAATACAACGTTTCAACTCACACACACGACGCTCAGAATCACAAACACAACGTTCCAATTCTCACACACGACGTTTGCCTGTCCGCTTTAGAACACCATATTTTTGACATACATCCAATATTCTTCGCTCGGTGACTTGCGCATTGCTTTCCACGGATCGGTGTAGTTTGCCAGGCTGAAGTTCCCTGGACCAGAAGTGGTGATGTTCAAATCATCCAACTCGAACTCTGTCAAGTTCGTCAGTGCCACACACTCATTGTCAAATGTGATCACCCCTCCAGCTTGGAAGCAGTCCGTAACGATGTCGCTGGAAATGAAAAAGAGTGCTGATGTGATCAGTTTGTATTGAAGTTACTTTTCATATATTTTGTGGTACGGGGTGCTCATTCGCGTAAAACTTGGATACCTACAGAATTATGATTTCTTCCAGCGGGGGTGCAAATTCAAAAGCGAATGCGGCTTTGGGCTTAGGCCCTATTAAACATGATTTCCCGACATTCTTGCTTTAATTTGTGGTGTAATTTTCTTAGGGTTTCAGAGCTAAGATAAAAAATAATATTGAGTTACAAAAGAGAAAAAAGTGGGGCAAAAAATCCGTCGGCCGGGGGCGGGCAAGTTGCCCCCCATGGGTATTATGTTAAATAAAAAGCTTGTTTTTCCCTTTCTGAAAGGTTTTGACAAAGGTTTCACATAATATAACACAAATGGATCTGGATATTGACCCTTTTCAGTCCTAGGTACAGTGTATCAAGACTAGTACCTAAGAACACAGATGTTCATAGCAATTTTTCCATGTGGGATTTTTTTCCAGGGGCAGCACTCACAGTAAACAGGTGAACGGTGGAGGAGTCCAACTCCGAAGTATGTTCATGCAATAAAAACAAGTGATTTCCATCCCCTTTTAAATTCTGTTTCATTTTTCTCGCTTCTTTCGTTTTTTGTTGTTCCTTTTTTAAGTTTTCTTTTTTTTCGAGTAGAGGGGCAAGCGCTCCTCTTGCCCCCCTCCCGACACCTATGCGTGAGTACCCTTCACACTTATTCCGTTCCCGCTTTATTTTTAGCGGAGAAAGAGTTGATGTACATTACCTGCACATCGGAGTGTTCCAGGGTTGCCCGCAACCAGCCCAAGGCAGTGAGGACGTGAAGGAGATGAAGAAATAATAGACCGTGTAGGTGATGACAACTCCGTAGGTGATAGTTATATAGAAACACACGATGAATTGTCCGTAACTCAGGCCTGGACTCGGAAAGTAAACAGAAATAAGGAGGAAGATATATCATTGCAAGCCACTTTTGGAAGAGGTTACCGTCAAAGTTAACTCCATCGCAGAATTCACAAGTCAGAAGCAAGTTTATCACAGTTATGTCATCCAGTTCGAAGTCTAGCGTCAAGCTACATTCAAAGGATGCGTTTTGTTACATATCCTTCATCCTCTTCATTATTTTCATCAGACTAGGACAGGACTTCATAATATTGTCAGTTTTCATACTTCCTAATTTGCAAAAGAGATTTTTTTGACGTTTTCGTTGTTCTTTTCTTTGTTTTTTGATTGTGTGTGTGTGTGTTTACCTTTCAAGATAGGAAAGGCCCGCCAACAAGTTAGTGGTCCCAAACTGCAATACTGGCCAAAGTTGATCTCCATAAAGAACATGGGCATCCCGGCAAAGGCCAGACTCAGGAAATAAGGTATCAGGAATGCACCTGTGAACGACACACATACGCTGTCAGTATGGTATACGGTCAAAGCTTCTCTGTCAAAGGCCGTCAAAATGGGTAAAAGGAGAAGCCAGATAAAAGGAGAGCTTGATGTCTTCCAGTAAGGGATACTGGAAAGAACTACCACTGGGGATGACGTATTTAATGTGCGGGTATATGACCCACATTTGCTAAAAATTGGTTGCTCTAAAAACATTTGCCAGTAGCTGCAGCATCGTTGAAAAGTGCCGGGGAAAGAGGGTGGACAAAAATAAATAAGAACTAGCGAATGGTGGGTGGGTTTTCAATCTCCTGGCCATCAGCGACACCGCAAAATAACACAATAGATTTCCATAAAACAAGAAGCTACGTAAGTGCATTTCAGTAAAGTGAACCATACTCGCAACAAATGCTATACTCACAGGCACGTTTTTTCTTCAATCTGCGGAGGCTTATAAGGCACATCAGGAACCGTCCGTCAAAATGTTAAAGACAGATCAACAAGCACATTTGATTGCTTTCCCATGCTTACTTGAGAAAAAGCGCAACTTTTCTTGCACTAGAACCCGGTCCCATATAGAGTCCACTGAACCATTCCACAGTACAATGTAAAAACATGGCTGCCTAGTTGAATGATGTGAAGGAGAGTTGAAGTCTTCAGTGATGTAATACACTTTGATGCCAAGCCTTGGTTTCAAAGCTACCTTATATAGGGAAGCGTATTTTAGGGGTCACCGTAGTTTATTTGGCACACCGCCCATCCCAAGGAAATGTATAACAAATGCCCGCGAAGACTGCCGTGGGCTAGATGCCCATTCCTTTCTCGTGTGTGCACCACCGAGTGAGTATCCTGGATGAAAACTTTCGCCACGAAAACTTAATTTTTACGTCGTACTAGCTGATTTGTTGTCTCTTTTCCATCTCAGGTTATTTCTTCATAGTGTCTAGCCTGACTTGAGGAACAATGGGGTCAGAGAAAATCGCAGAATGAGTGATTTTGGGGTGTTTATTAACCATCTTGTGAAAATTTCCCATGAAGCGTACATGTGATATTTTAGACACTGTACATGTACATTATCTGTTTGTGTGGCGACTCGTATGCTTTACCGGGGTTTCGATCTTTAAGTTACCCCACACACTATTACAGCCGCACATACACCGGCCTGGCATTCGGGGAATATGGAATCACATGTAAAGAAATTAAAGGGAATATTGGGAGTATAAAAGCATAAAGCAACACTGAATGATAAAGAAATAACAGTAGATTTGAATTGTAGTTAATTGTAATCAAACCTAGACATTTTGAACCCCCCAAAGTTGACATGTAAATAAAACTCTGTATAACTAAGACAGTTACATTTGGACTCTTTCTGCCCACCTTCCTTTGCCTTGGTGTCCTAATAATGTAACTAATAATTTAAGTGGACCTCCTTAATAGATGGCCTGTCATTACACTTATAAGACTTGATTCCGGGCATATGCCTTACCCTGTAGGCTTGAGAGCTCATAAGCCTTGAACTTAAATGGTCCATGCCTTGCAGTCAATGTCCATCGAATTCTGAATTTCCCAGGAAAAGTCGTTTTAGACTTCACTGTTCTGCAATCATGCAATTTGGGTTGAGCGCTCTGTATAGTTGGCAGTATTTAATTTCATTATGTCTACAGTGACGGAGGGAGAGGTCCTATGTTTGTACACTTTCACTTCATATCATCATATTTTGTTACAATGATAGGCCAGCACATGTTGCTGCATTCCCCCGAAGCTATAATGTGTTCTAGGTAATGCTAATGTTTCTAACCATATGGGTCCAGAAGATGAAATTAATTCCATGTTAAGCCCACATAATAATGCGATTTGAGACAGCCGTTCTAGGATCCCTCACTGTGATACTGGGTTTAGATTAATGTGCATCATTATGGAAGCAAAAACGTTGTTTTGTAATATTTAAATGGTATCCACGAATGTATAAACATAGTCAAACATTGCGAAACATTTGGAGGGCCTGACGTCAGACCTTCCTTCTTTTGTAGGTCACTAGCCAGCAAGCAGTTTGCAACAGTTAATAGCAAATAAAGGCGTTTTTCTTTTTACTGCGAGCGATTCGTCATGTGTACTCGTGTGGTTCGTTGTGATGTGTTTTATATTGAACATGAACTGGGTTGCTGCTTACTTGTAGAAGAGTAAAAACTTTTAAACACCACTGAAATTACCTTCAAAGGCACTCCAAATGCAAAACGGAGGCGGGGAAGGTGAATTTCGTGTACCCCATAACATGCATTGGTAACAAGGAGCAAGAAATTTTTGAAACCCTCACTTTGCACTTGAAGATGGCAACAATCCAGCCGAGTATGACACTCTCAACGGCACTTGTCATCGGACTTAGACAAATTGTGCAAAGAGTACGAAATACAGTTCATCACATTTTCACCTTGCCATCCACAATCTAACATACAGACGCGGAACAAGCCGTCCAGATCATTAAGCGCCGTTTGAAGAAGAGCCCAGACAGAAATCTAATGCTTTAAGAAAACTGCACAGCACCAGTCCTACGTACCCCGGGCACAGCTGATGGAACGTAGACCCCCATAATATTCTTCCAGTGGCTCCATCTCTGCTTCAGCCATACAAGCATCTCTTAAGAGCTGTAGGTTTGCAGGTACACCATGGAACTATCTCTTCAGAAAAAGTGTGGTTCTGAGAAGAACCGGTGAGCAAACAACTATTCTTGAACATAATA